CTAGTAACAGCTCTGACACAGGGAGCCTCTTGACTCCTTTATGATGATGACGCAGATACTCAATTAGCAGCAGACAGGCTTACCATGCACTCCACTTCCAGAGACAACATCATCGCTCAAATCCAGCATGATAAAGCCGCGATCTCTGCCTACTAGGTTGGATAAGCCCTGTTGTTCCAGTTCCTGTTGATCTGCTCCACCAACATGAAGCTCTACATCACTCCCATGAAGTACCCACAAATATTCATCATTAATTCCTTTGTTAATTTCTAAATCAACCAATTTTAACTCCGCCTTAAATGCAAATATTTCAAAACTTTCGTTTTTTAAATAAATGTTAGAAATATCCATTTTTAGATCTCTTTATTTTACTATAGTGACTTTTAAAGTCAACAAGGTTACAGTTAATTATTTAATTGTTGTCTAATATCAAGTTTCTTTTTATGAACAGACCCCAATATTTTTTTTAAATTTTTTGTTGAATATTTTTCTTGAATGCAATATTTCTACTGACCTGAGGATACAACGTTCACCATCTAAACCAATAAAAACGTTTAGTAGATAAACCCTATCAGATTAAATACGGCTAATATGCGTTAAAGCGTTCATACTTCTTCATTCTTTTCAACTCTACTACAAAGCCCATATCTTTTTTAATGCATAGGGTAGTTTAAAGGACGGTCAAACTGAAACTGCTTGTATTTGTTTAAAAAAAATAGTCAATAACTTTTTATTATTTTAGATACAGATCTAAGATTTGCTTGTTTAAAAAAACCTTGCTAAATGGATCTAGTAACTTAAATATTTTCTTAAATTTTTTATACTGTAACGGAGTTCAAAGTGCGTATTTTTACAAAGAATGTCAGATCATGGTTGGAATCAATTTTTTCTGTATATGGGAACTCTGCTGGGTGTTTACATAAACTAAAACTCCTTTTTTGTAAAATTCACAAACGAATGTAACAGATTCTTTAAGAATTGATATTTTTGCTTTTATTAATAGTTAAAATGTATTTATATGTTTGTATTTTTTGTGAACATCCTGTGAGCACTGTGTATTTTTAAGTATAGACTCAAGGTTAAGGTTACGCCTTAAACCTAACGTTAGATCTGCAACATGATCTACAGACAAAGGATAGAAAGATTCAGAATTTGGAATCCCAGCATGAAGAATTTATTAAGAACACAGAACAGAAATTGAGTTTGATGAAGGAAATGAAAGGCAAAGCAGATTTTGAAGTTGTTAATCCAGTTTGTCCTGGTATTTGTGAGAGGAACATTCCCATAGAAAACATGATTGAGCACATCAAAAGTTGTGATTCTATTAAGTTTAATGAGTGTCATCTGAAGCTGAATACAGAGGTGATAGTTACTAATGATTGTTATAATGTAGTTTATAAGCTGGAAGAATCCAGAGACTGGTTTATAATCAAGAATTGTGTTGTCTATGGAAAGTGGGTGTTCTACATCATGCACCACAGTGGAGAGGAAACAAAGGATGTGTTCTATTACAGTATAAAATATGTGGATGATAGAAACATACTCAAATCTGGAATAGTGAGATGTGCTCCTATAGGGATATCACTTGGGGATGCTGTACGCAATAACTTCACAACAAACATATATCGAAACATTGAGAAATTTACAATGTATAAAGCATAATCATCTTTGTCTACTACCAACCCATCTCAAACATATGAGATAGTGTTTCTAAAATTAGAAGAAATAAGAAATAGATTGTTAAGTAATTGAAGCTATTATTATGTTAATCTTATTACTGAGCTTATATATTTATTACAAATGTTTATTTCCAGAAAAAGTGAGAACCATATTTTTTATAAAGAAACATTAAATTCAAGTAAAATAGTGGCCAGCCATCAACTTGTTTAGAGGGTAGGTTGTAAATTGGACATACCTAAAACTGCAATAATATGTCCCTTGGAACTAGTTACGATTGGAATATGATTATTCGTAGAAGATAAAACTATTTTTGCTTTAGACGCCATCTGTTCCCAACAGAAACAATTAACAAAACTGCTATCATTTTTGTATGTTTTTGAAATCTTGCAGACTGTACTGATTGAAAATTAGAAATTTGAACATTTTTTAGAATTTTTTCGCGGATTCCTAAGTTTAAAGTTTAAGCAATAATACTATTTTAAATTATTTGTTACGAAATTATGATGCAGGGTTACCCACAAACGATGAGACTTCTAAGACCAGTTTTTTTCTCTTAAATATTCATGGTAAATATTTTTAAATACAACCATCTAAAGATTGAACTACTTATTAACCCCATCATAATGGTGTGGGGGGGTCCAGGACCCCCGCTGTGGTTCTTCTAAATAACTTAACAACAGCTGACATTAGAATTCTAAAACTTCTTTTCTTTTTCAACTTCATAGTTGTGAATAAATTTTGCGAACAAACAGCGGGTCGGTGTATGAAAAAAAGAAATGGTCAATAACTTTTTTAATAAAGCTATTTATATCTTGAAAAGCCCTTGAAAAATGGATATAATAACAAACATGTTATTAACTTCTTAGCATTTGTCAAAAGTAAAAATATTTATTTTTTAACATTTTTCCAACGTACTTTTTGAAAAAAATTAAATCCTCCCTTGCACCCTTACCATTAAAGATAGAGGTCTAATATTTTAATGAGCAGGCCTTCAAAAGTTGGACTAGGGACATGAACAGGGTGTCCCAAAAAATATGGGAATTCAGTGACGAATTCGATATCGTCTTTTCAAATAATTCTTTGATTTAGTATAGTGAAACCTACTGAGAAAGCTGTAATCTGTAGGAGCTTCGTCTGCTATGTTCACATTTTGTTTGTTTATGTTTTGACTGTATACGGTTGTTCTTAGTAAAACAAGAAAATTACAGTATATACAAACAGAGTAAACTTGTCCGTCTAAACTGTTCATCTTGCGGAGACATTATAGACACATATTTTACAATTTTCATAAAATAAATTCTAGCAGACATAATAATATTATGGCTGTTGAAATTAGGTATTACAATGCTAATTCATAACGAAGACGATATCGAAATCGTCACTGAATTCCCATGTTTTTTGGNCCCCCCCCAATCTATATTAGACAAAAATAGCCCAATCGGGATAGGATGCTTTGTGTGCTGGGTTGTCCACCCCTACGATCCTTTCTTCTTCTTTTCCTCTGTATTCTTCAATACCTTTCCTCTGTCTTCTACTTTTAATTTTCCTCCTTTTCCTTTAGTTTTAAATTGTTTTTGTTTTATTTTGTTTTATTTAAATTGAACATGTATGTATCGCTGCAGAAGGGCCTCTCATTCAAAACAACCAACAATGGTTAGAGAGGGCCTGGCTAAATTAAAATGCAAAAATTATGCAATTGAAATTGTATTTAGTCAAATATTTATCTATCTATCTATCTATCTATCTATCTATGTCTTTTAACCCTGAACAGGCATTCACGTTTTTGACACAATGTACTTCCACCAGTCAGAACCAAACTTCCTTGTAAGTATTTCAAATTTAAAAAGGCAGGTTGATGGATAATTTTTTATCTGTTCACTCTTCCCCACATAGATAGACCTCTAGTCACAATAAGAGAAAAAAATTCTGAAGTCACATGTTTGGTGGATCATTTTTGCCTTTATCTAAATACTGAATTATTTTTGCCTATTTATGAACACTGGGTTGGATCAAGGTACCTAAGTAAAGCAAAAGCATCATAATTTGAAATTGAAAGGTATGTACGCTTTCTAAATAAAAAGAATTATCGACGAAGAACGTATTCAACAAACAACAACTGCCATGATATCGTCTTTATAAGTGTAAATGATATTAGCTCAATTAGTGTATTGAATTTTACCAATCCGTCATACATTTTGCAATTTACAATCTATATAATAAGACTTTCATATATATGTTGCGTATAGCGGCCAAACGGCTGGACCGATTGGGCTGACATTTTTTGTAAACACGAATGGTTGGCCGGGGGGTGTAATAAGCTAAAAAATTGAACCTTTTTTAAAAAAAATTTTATTCCACGGGCAACGCCGGGCCCTTCATCTAGTATCTATTAAAGCTTTATTCCTAAAAACGTAAAATATTTTTATTTTGTTTTAAATCAACGAAATACATTATTTTGTCTTTTGAAAATTCATGACTAAACAAAATTATTAAATATTAAAACTATTTCTTCCTTCGAATCCTTCTCTTCTCCAGACTTAAGAGAAATGCTACCATTTTTGTACATTACAGTGGTAAGCGATTATATCAATACAATAAGTTTTTATTGTTAACAAGCTTTTTTCGAATAACAAGTATACAGAAATCAAAGAGAAGCTTTTTAAATCGACAGCTTTTCTTTGTTTCCATGTTAAGTGTATCCATGCTGATGAGAAGTTTGATATAAATTGAAATCGAAAGTCGTCTTCATTGTATTGATACAATCGCCTACCACTGTTTGTCCTCCCGATTGATATTTAAAATATATTCAACAATATTTAAAAATTAAAGAACCTTAATTAACGAATGTACAAATCACAGCGTATGTACAGGTTATGTACAGTATATAGTTCATTAAAAAATGTTCAGGGCTACAAAATAGGAGTTAGAATGGTAAAATCAAAGGCCCAGGCGTTGCGACACTTCACAGTTTTTACGGCAAACTCATTTTTGAAAATTGTAAACCTCTAACGTTTCAACAACTCACCCTTTAAAAGCTTTGTATGATCAAAAATGAATGTGAATTCCATGTTTTCAACTTAAAAATTGATTATTTTAAATTGTGATTTATCTAAGAAAAATGGAGGGAATTGTCCGAATTAAACTTTTCAGTTTGGTTTTCTAATACGTAATTCCATTGTATGGATTAATATGCATTCTAATTCACCTTTTAATAACAGCGCAATATTTCGTGGAATTTAAACGCATTCATTTTACTGCGTGCAGCGTGCGTAGGGGTGAGGAGGATTAGCGGTCATCTAGTCGCCTATAAAACAAGTAGTTTTTCATATGTCTAACCAGTGTTATTAAAATCCCAAAATAACAGGTATCTACTCCTTCTACTTCTACATTTTCATTAAATACTAGGGAACCCCATATTCAACAAATACAGAGCTAACCGCAAAACTGTGGAATGGTTTAATCTCATAAAATGTCTTTCTTGTTAAAGGGACAGACCGGCTATGTGAGGTAGTTAAACTGAGTAAGCATGGTGTTATGGAAAAATTCTTTAGGATTCATTTAAATCGTTTGAAAAAGATCTGTAAATCCTGAGTTTGAGCGCAAAGTCGACGTTCAAAATCGTACTTTTGGGTGGATATGTTTTCAGAATTGTTATTTTTTAATTATTAAATAACGACGACAAAAAATGTAAACAAAATTCTACAATAAACTATAATTAAATAAAAATTTATGTTATCATCGAAAATATAGTAATCTTATTCAATAATTAGTTTCTATAATCTCTCATTATTCAAAAAGATTTTCTGGAATTCTCATTCAAAAGACGACATAGAAAATAAGAAATTCATTATAATGGTGAAAATGAAATAATTGATTTAAATTGCACCCCGCGACCGACGGGTTTCCCGACGTAAAGCGATCCAACTGGAACAGCAGAGAGCCTGCCTATACGCGCATTTTCACAAGGTTTTTGCATTGATTTATTGACAAATTTCTTTTGAGAAATATGTTTCTAACCATCTAGTTAGTTAACTGTATAAATTTTACTTTATTTTTCGTCGTCGTTATTTAATAATTAAAAAAAAAAACTTCTGAAAACGTACCCACCCAAATTCATGATTTTGAATGTTGACTATACACTCAAACTCAGTACTTATATATCGCGGAAACGTTTTATATATGAATCCTAAAGAATTTTTCAACAACACTGCTTACCAGGTTTAACTACCTTACATAGCCGGTCTGTCCCTTTAAATTTTAACAACTGCAAGCTGAGAAGGTCTTGAGCTTTTATTTTTCAGGTTTTTTTATCAATTTAAACTCATCAGATAATACCGTGCTTGTTTTAAATTTATTTTTTGTTAATAAACAAAATGTCAATAATAATAGGTACAAGGCACTTAGATTTTGCATTTTTATATAATTTAAATTGCAATATGATGGGAAAATAAAGCTTAAATTTTCCCGCGTAAAGTTTTAAAATTCTTTGTGGCATTTGAGCTAAATACATTCTTTAAACTATGGAATAGGAAGACGACTTTTAGACTAAAGTTTTTCATTTCAAATTTCCCATTGAACATGTAACACAACCATTGTGCAGTTGATTTTAAAGATACTGATACAATTATTTGCATAATATCAACATCGATTACGCATAATATTGCTTTAATGTCGTCTTCCGATTGGCATATTTTTGGGACACCCTGTATGATCAGCCAGTTCATCGTAGTTAGGAAATAATTTAACTAACAACATTTAATTTGAAGTTTTTACGAAATATTTCATAATTTTTTTGATATCTAAAACTGGGATTTGAGAGACGAATTGAAAACGTCATTGAATTCCGGAAATTGGTGTGAATTACAAAAGTCATATTATTCATTTGTCATAAATACGTTTTTTATAGTATTACAAATTATAAATTTGTCATAATCTATCCAAGTTTTTATATTCGGTTTAGATGATGCTTCAAACCTGACAGAGTAAAAACTGGCACTGGTTTCAGATTTGCTGAAAATATATTTCGGACTGTGCTGGATCCCCTTCAGTGCTGCACACAACTCAAAAATCAGTAGTAAAATGCTTAAAAAATCAATAGAAAATAAACAACAAAACTTTTTTAAAAAAAAACAAGAAAATCGGTTGTCATAATGAAAAAAGGGAAACAAACTCAGATCATGAATTATATGTAATAAAAGTCCTTTTTAATTTAATTTATGAACTTATTCTTTTAAACTTTAATTTTTTTTGTTGCCTGATGAATGATCAGATAGGCTGAATTATCCAAAGTCTCTAGCCAGTCCACCTTGCCATATGCTATTGCTATATGTCGGTTAAATAGCCAATCTTGTATTACAAATATATTTTCATGGTTGTAAACATATTTGAAAATATAACAAAATGAAAATGAAAATATGATTTTGACAAATGTATGATTTGTATACTATGAAAAACGTATTTATGACAAATGAAACATATGACGTTTGTTTTTTATGAATTATGAAATCTATAAAAAAAAATGTAAATTATAACTTTTTTAATTATGACAAACATATTTTTAAAAACATATTTTTGACATACGAATTCTGACTTTTGTTACAGCGCCCCTCCCCCCAGGCGGTGCTTGTCCATAAATTACTAAGTTTGTATTCTAGGATGAAGCTGGTTGTGTTGTTAAGTGTTCTGAGTGCAGCAGCTGCTCAACAAGGTATTGGATTAGAACGAGTTCCTGTTCAGCAGGAGGGACAACGAGAGACTCCTCTCCTTCTTCTTATACTGGGAGAGGGACGCACCCCTGAGCTATATGAAGGACGAGTCCCTGAAGGACTTGAAAAGGGACGGTTACCTGATATGAAAGAAGGACAGGAGCAAGGACGGTTCCCTGATGTGAACGAAGGACTAGATCAGCGTGCTCCTGGTAAATATCAAGGACCTGCAGTAGGTGATAGACTCATGAATGGAGAGGTTGGGCTGGACCAACGAGCCCCTTCTCCAGGTATGGATCAAGAACTTTCTTCTTCCCTTGTTAGAGATCAAATTGGCGAAGAAGGGGTCCGGGATATTGAACATGGACATGGTGGTGGACATGGGCAACATGGTGGACATGAAGGTCATGGGCAGGCTGGACATGAAGATTATGGGCAGGCTGGACATGAAGGTCATAGGCAGACTGGGCATGAAGGTCATGGGCAGACTGGACATGGAGGTCAAGAACATTCCAATGATGAAGAATCCATGCAAGGAGATGGAGAAGGATCTTGCAAAACTAGTGCTGACTGCCCCGTTGCTTGGCCTGTATGTAGTGAATACGGATACTGCCAGAGACAGGGATACAAGGTAGGAGACACAGGATTCCCGTATAGGAGGTAGTTTACCGGACCCAATGTCGTCTTTCTCATTAGCATGAGAAAATCCTCCAACAAGATGAGAGAAATCCACCAAACTATTAGCATTTAGAAAAGAAGTTTTCAGTCTCCGACCTCGTTATATATTATCATTGTATATGTGAATATTTATGAGATAATAAATTTAATTTTAAATATACAAAACATTGATGGTTACTTACTTAAGTTGAGTTTTATTTAATCTCAGTTCGACCATTTTAACCTCACTTCTAACACATAATCAGGTGGGAACAATGTTGGAAGTTACAACTAGCTGTAAAAAGTGTGTGCTAAAACATGTGGGTCATGTGAGTTACCACAAAAAACAAGGACCTGATGCTCAGTTCAGATTTTTTGACATTTATTGGTATGCAATCAGACCAACATCACCGAGAAAAGTAAAATTAACAAACTTTTATAAAAAATAAGAAATAATTTTCGCTTCACATCTTTACAGTTTTCATAATTATCTTTTTATTTTTAAAATTTTTATGAAAATTAAAAAAATACGAAATCCAGAAAATTTGGCTAATAATATTAGATAAATGTAAAACAGTTAAACCCTAAATAAGCTATAAAAGAATTAATCAAATGTCGTATTCTTCACATTCTGATATTAAAATGTAGCAGATATTTAGTTTTTTAACTAATTAATGATATGGAGCTCTTTAAAACTGTTCCCGCATATTCATGGCTATTTATTTATTTTCGTAAATAGTATAAAACCCATTGAAAAATTGTCAAGACGACATTTCATAAATTCTTTCGATGTATTAAATATTTAGGGTTTAATTGTAGTAATCTCTTTTTGTCTTGATGTTTGTTTGTTGGTTGGTTCGATTATTACTCATGAACCCCTGGACAGATTTGCCTCATATTTTGATTGGGAAACTCGGGAGGTTCACGGGAATGTTCTTGGCTTTGTTTAAAATATCTTAATTAAGTAGGTTTACTTTTACAGGAAACTTAGCTTCCAGGGAAAGATAGGTTCACCAGCTAGTATATATCTAAATAAAGTAGTAATCTTTACAATAGTAATCTTGTTTGTTTGTTGGTCTGATAGATTTTGATCTGTGAACTCAGGAGAATCACGGGAATGTGTTAGCTTGGTTTAAAAGTACTAAACTCCAGGCCAAGCTATTTTCTGAAGCTGGAATCTAAAAATAGAAAGTGATAATTCTTGTTTGTTTGTTTTTATGTCCGATCATAACCCAGGACCCCTTTGACCGATCCGTCTCAAATTTTAATTGGGGAGAACCACGGAAATTTTTGTAGTCCGTTTAAAATTCTTAGTTGAGTGGGTTCACTTTACAGCTAAGTTTTCCTGAGCCGGCGATTTAAAAAATTCAAGAAAATACGACTCAGGTCTAAGCTGTTGTTGAGCCTTATTTACGGCTCGGGCTTTCGGATTTAAGTTGCTCTAATTTTCAACAGAGTTCAGTTCTATAAAACCGGTTTAATTTTGTATTTAGCGGATTTTCATAGTTGGAATTGGCGCATTCTGGGTTTTGATGAGAATAAGACCCAACATTGAGCCTTATTCTTCACTAAAACCAACCAAGGTCAGTTTTATTTTCATTGGGCTTAACTCCTTAAGTCGAGCCTAAGATCTCGCAGCTGTCAATCACGTGACACAAGCTGTCCTCAGAGTTGGGTCGAAGATTGGGTCTTAAAGTCGGGTTTAAGGAATTACGGCTCGAGCCGAAGTTTTTAAATCGCGGGCTCAGGCAAGCTGGGTTCCCAAGCTAGTTTACTCTCTGTAAACCTGCATAATCTCTGTACACCTGTAAACTCTCTTTATACTTTCTGTAAACCTTTATACTCTCTGCAAACCTGTCTACTCTCTGCAAACCTGTCTACTCTCTGTATTCCTATATACTCTCTGTAAACTTGTATACTCTCTGTATTCACAGTGATATATGTAAGTTTGTAATTTGTTTTTTGTTTTTAAGTATTAAAATGTCAAAATTCTTTCAGATAATTCATTGTGGTATTTAATTTTCATAAAACAGTCCCTGTTTTAGGTTAGTTTTAGCAATCCAGGGGGGGCTCAAATTCTTCCAGGGATGGGGGGGCTAAACCCAAAAAGATTTTTAAGCACCCCCCTGGACTAAATCCTCTGGTTAAGCTACTAATTAACAATTTAATATGATACATTTTTCATTTCTTCATATGAACATTAAAATGGAAACTTTTTTTGGATAAAATTGTAATGTTCGTTTAATCAAAATTATATATTTTGCTTCAGTAAGAACAAGAAAACTATGGTACAGAAAGTGTGTTTAGTGTTGTTACAAGCAAAAAAAAAAATTAGTAACTTATTCAATCACTTATTCAGTTACATGGATCTGCTTCAGTCTAAAATGTAGTCTTCCTATGTCAGTGTTTTCTGGTTATCATGCAGCAAATAAATATGATAAAACAAAGGATTAGGTTAGTTAAGTTCAGTTTATTGTAATGTTGTACATATACATGAAGTTGTTATCCTCATGAGGATAAGTCAGGGATAAAATATTTATCCCTATTTTTCTATGTTGTATATATAGTGTGGTGGGAACTCTAGTTTGACCTGACGCTTAAATAGGGCCCTGATATACAGGGTCCGGGGGCATTCACCTGGTATTTTGAAGGCATCAGGGATTCCCGAGATGGGTGAGCTGGTCAACCTGTACATTAATCAATTTTACTTAATACTCGACACTCACTGCAAGTTTAATTTCGTCAACTTCTTAAACGTGCACTATTTATATTTAAATAATTGCGGCATTTCCCGTATTGAAAGGAAGTATCATTCAAATAAGATTTACGTTACTCTAAATAAAGACGACGATTATTACAATCAGATCAACAGACATTACCCTCATGTTACTTTGTAAAAATTATTTTAAGAACAATTATGATAACAGTTAGGATAACATTTATCTAATGTTAGTCAGAGCGTATTACAGCATGCTATAAATAGCATCAAAAATGACATTTTTAACAGTGTAAGTTTAACATCGGGTTTATAGCTTTACCTTCAGCAAGTTTAAGGTTTACAGGTTTACAGGTTTACAGGTTTCTTTATTTCACTATTTATCTATCTATCTACTCTTAATATTCCATTCATCCTCTATCCTCTGTCATTGTTCTCATAACAAGATCAGTAAATCTATGTCAAGTGAAAGGGATTTCATCAGTCTCTTAAAATCAATCAAATCAATTATTGTTATCATTGTTATCGATCCGATCTTGTGAACCTTTGTTGCGTAAAAATCCCATGCTTTGTTATTCAAAAGGAAGCACCGTAAAGTTAAAACAGACTTTGATAAAACTACTTTAACAAAAACAAATCAGTAAAATCACTTTACAAACGATGATTTTCCGTTATAACTATAAATCAAATGATGTTTTTTATTCACCTAATTCATTATAAAGTTTATTTAACAGCTTTAAAAAATTCGAAATTGAAATGGATAGTCTAGGGAACATACTGTATTAATGTACTCTAATGCATATAATTTGTGAACATTTACATGATTTGTACACTTTGAACTCCCTTTCAGGCTGAAAGGGACTGAAAAAATTCATACCGAGGGATTCTTTAAATTCCCCTCTAATATATTATTTGTCAACCATTAACAATGCTACATGTAAAGTCGTCTTTAACTTAGAAACCCCTCTCGGAGACACTAAAATCCAAACCAAAAAATTTTAGGCTTCGGTCCTTTGTTCTCCCATCGGAGTGTAAATATCTTAAAACATTGTGAATCCATTTTCAAAAGTTAAACAAAGAATATTTTCACATAAAGAATTAGTGACTTTCGTGAATAATTAATTGTCATTCTTTTCAGAAGTTAAAAAAACGTCTTTGGACTGTCCAACGACTTAACCCTTAACATCCAAAAATAGATTGTAAGAATCTTTTCATTATAAACAATTCATTGTATTGATTTATATGTTATTATTTATACAATTTTTCAGGAAATAAAGAGTTTTCTTTGTTATCGGTTTTGATTTGAGAGTTATCCAGTTGTTTATCTGTTCATTATTGAGAATCTTGCTGCTATACGACAACAATATTTTATTCTCTTTGTTTAAACTTTCATGTAAACAGTATATGCAGATTTTTCGTATGATAAAGTTATTGTATTCCGTAGACCATCGTGGTGAGTTCATTTTTATATATAAAATAATGTTAAGTTTCGTTTAAATAGTCTTCCTCACAGTTTTTAATGCCGAGTATGTTATAGTTTATTCAATTATGGGATTTATTAGATATTAAACTACAGGGTGTCCCAAAAAACATGGGAATTCAGTGACGAATTCGATATCGTCTTTGTTATGAATTAGCATTGTAATACCTAATTTCAAAAGCAATAATATTATTATGTCTGCTAGAGTTTATTTTATGAAAACGGTAAAAGACTGTAAAGATGTGTCTAAGCGTACGTTTGAAGAGATCATATTTAAAGAATCCCCAATATCAGGAAAGGTAAAATCCGGGAAGGATAAAATCCGAAAAGGATAAAATACGGTAAGGGTAAAATCCGGAAAGGATAAAAGCCAGGAAGGGTAAAATTCGTGAAGGATAACATACGGTAAGGGTAAAATCCGGAAAGGATAAAAGCCGGGAAGGGTAAAATCCATGAAGGATAAAATCCGGTAAAGGTAAAATCCGGAAAGGATAAAATCCGGGAAAGTTTCATCTGTGAAGGATAAAATCCGGTAAGGGTAAAATCCGTAAAGTATAAAATCCAGGGAGGATAAAAATGGTAAAGATAAAAAGATTCCAGGAGTCAGTCTTACAGAAACCAGGAACAAGAGAAGATGTTCTAGAATACTCTCAATATATCTATATATTCTGTAATATATTTTATCCTAAAGTATCAGTAAATATATAATCTTAACAAGTTTGAAATATCAAAGTTTTACACCATCAAGTTACAAAGATATAGAGATTAGAAAACTTGAGTTTTTGGCAAGAATTCAGTTCCTTTCTTATCAATAGATTACTCTTGTATAAAGAGATAATTATTTTCATTACCGGCATTTTGTGTGTATCTATAATAATCTTTTAGAGATTTCAACATTCAAACTTGTGTAGGGTCACCCACAAAAGATGAGACGGGAAAGATGACCTGATACTTTAGAAATCTAAAAAGGACTGTAAGCGTAATTTTAAATGATCGACCCTCCATGCAAAGATGGCAATGCCCGATTTACAACAGTACCCTTGAAAACTTTGAGTGTTGATCGAGGAGTAAAATATCCCTCTCTAATACTGCCTCGGATTCCTGTAAATCTGGAGTGTACACTCGCGTACAGTGTGTTCATAATTGTAAGAATGCTTCTTCCTTTAAATATCTAAAATGTCGATATTCTCAATTATCTAATTTGAAGGTTCTACACCAAATAATTAGTTCTCTTCATGAATCTGTTACCTCTTAGGTACCCGGGAGAACCCTGAAATGTTTTTTTTGTATACATTAAATTTATGTTAAAAGCCTACATTTAACAAGTGTATGAATACTATTTCAACCTTTGGCCATCAATAATAGACGTTTACTGATACAAAAGCAAAATGCACCAATAAAGCAAATTAACTTAGTTTTATCTTTATTTATATAATTGTATTTCTACAAAATGCATATTACAGGAATTGGAAAGGAGAGTTAACAAAAACGCTGATTGTACAGTGTGCAGTAACCGTACTGCACATTATGCTGTACACTGTACTGAAATGTCCACTGTACTCATTGTACACTTTTTCACAGATTGTATTTACAGTTTAAACCCTATCATTTTATAAATGATAAGGTTTCAGTTTTAGTTTTAGGTTTTACTAAAAAGCTTTTCACATTAATTATAATCAAGGAAAAAAACACAAAAATTATGTCGATTAGGGAAACCTTCATTTTTATAAATGATATTTGACTTGAAGAAAAATTATAATTGACAAGTTCAATTTTTAATATTTATGAAAAGGTTTGAAAACGACAGGTATTGTTATGAAAATGTTGAATTGAGACATGGAATTGCAGTTAAATCTATCATGCTTTAGTTTTGCAAAAGTATGGTTTTTAAACCATTTGTAAACGAAGAAGCAAGTTTTTGTAGTTTTTTGAATTCGATATTTTTTATGAATATCTACAAAAAAATCTTTATATTGTAGGTTTTAAACTATTATTGTAGGAATTAAACAGTTCTTAGGTTTTAAAGTATTTTTGTAGGTTCTTTTCTTGAAGGTTTTGACTATTTTTGTAGGGTTTAAACTATTCTTTAAGATTTTAAATTGTTATTTCGAAATAAATATCTCAATCTTAAGATTTTGAACTATTATTTTGAAATAAAAATTTCTAAATCTTAAGATTTTAAACTAATTGTAGATTATAAACTATTCTTTTAGATTTTAAACTGTTATTTCGAAATGGATAGCTAAATTTTAAGATTTAGACTGTTATTTCGAAATAAATAACTTTTAAAAATTTTAAGTCTTAAGATTTTTAACTACTTTTGTAGGTTATAAATTTGTATTAGTTTTAAAGGAGTGACACCGTTTTATATAGGGGTTTAAACAAGTCTAAAATATAAACCAATTTTTAAGGTTTTTAACTATTTTTAGGATTTAAACTGAACCTGAATTGTCTTGGTGCCCATTTCAGTTCCATCCTCCCCAAGCTCCTCCTCCTCCTCCTCCCCTTCCTCCTCCATCTCCTCCATCTCCTCGTCCATCATCTCTTCATCATCATCTCCATCTCCTGCAAACATTATCTTTATTTAGAGGGAGTGGAAAGGCAATTTCAAATCCATGCAAAGATGACAATGCCGTAACTACAACCGAACCCTTAAAAGCTTTGTGTCAAGTATGAACTAGATATCCATGTTTTTGTTTTTTACAACTGTTTCCAATTGTGGGTTATATGCAAAAGTGACTTGGCATTGACGTGACTGGAGAAATTATCCTAATCGATCACTAATAGACAGAAAAAGGCTGCTAGTTTGTACATTTATTACTCAGATCAAGGGGTTCATGAGTTATGATTGGAATTGCCTGTGCACCTAGCTGCAGAGAATAATAGTGTTTTACAGGTTTACCCACAAAGGATGAGACTGTAAAGAAGACCTTAAACTGTAAACAAATGACGATTTTTAGCTCGATATTTGGTTTCTGTATTCAATTTGAGTCTTGATGGTTTATGAAATGATTAAGCAGAGATATATTCCAGTTTTGGTCAACAAGGAACAATGAATGTAAGATAATGTACAATCCGTACAATCGTCTCCGTAGTCTCATCCTTTGTGGGTAACCGTGTACTTCAGAGAGAACATTTCTTCTGATAAGCAAACTGAGATTAAAATACCTGGTCCTAAAATCTAACTGACCAAAAAGAGCTGCACAGATGTTTTTTTTCTTTAAAAAGTGTTAAAAAACAACAAAAAGCAATTCTTAACAGAATGAAGGACTGACTTGCATGCTTTTCATGTTTATTTTTACTAGAAAGTTTGTTCGTTTTAAATAAAACCCCATCAAGCCCACTTGTAGAGAAACCTTACTTGACCTCAGGAGAGCTAATGACCGATTGGGATTTGAATTTTCCAAATTTCCAAATTCTAATATTAAATCATTGATTATTCCTTCATAAACATGGAGTGCACGGTATTGCTCGTGGAATTTTAAAGACTCCCTCTACTTTTAATCTTGAAATATTCGACTATTCTTTATAATACAAACTGATCCGAAAAAAATGGAAACGGTAGAGGATGAAAACCACAAAATCCGCAAATCAGTTTTGTCGGATTCTGGAACACAAGAGGAGACCTTCTCATATTCCTTTCCTTTTATATCCTCATTATTCTTTATGTATTTCTATTAAAATAAAATGTACTTATAAAAAATCCTAATTAAAATCATTAATTGGCGATATGAATTCATTGATGTCCTCCCACATTTAAAATCTCTTTTTTTCGTGCCTGTCGGTCTGTCAGTCTCTTGTCTGCCTATCTGTCAATATATCAGTCTCTTGTCTGTCTATCTGTCAATATGTCAGTCTCTTGTCTGTCTATCTGTCAATATGTCAGTCTCTTGTCTGTCTATCTGTCAATATGTCAGTCTCTTGTCTGTCTATCTGTCAATATGTCAGTCTCTTCTCTGTCTATCTGTCAATATGTCAGTCTCTTGTCTGTCTATCTGTCAATATGTCGGTCTCTTGTCTGTCTATCTGTCAATATGTCAGTCTCTTGTCTGTCTATCTGTCAATATTTCGGTCTCTTGTCTGTCTATCTGTCAATAAGTCCGTCTCTTGTCTGTCAATATGTCAGTCTCTTGTTTGTCAATATGTCAGTCTCTTCTCTGTCTATCTGTCAATATTTCAGTCTCTTATCTGTCTATCTGTCAATGTCAGTCTCTTGTCTGTCTGTCTATATTTCAGTCTCTTGTCTGTCTATATGTCAATATGTCAGTCTCTTGTCTGTCTATCTGTCAAAATGTCGGTCTTTTGTCTGTCTGTCTGTCAATATGTCAGTCTCTTTTCTGCCTGTCTATATTTCAGTCTCTTGTCTGTCTATCTGTCAATATGTCAGTCTCTTGTCTGTCTGTCTATATTTCAGTCTCTTGCCTGTCTGTCTGTCAATATGTCAAGTCTCTTGTCTGTCTGTCTATCGATGAGTTAATTAATGTTACCTTTAATATACCCTGTTCCAGTAGTCTCAGCTAATCTGTCAAACTCAAGCTCATTCTCTATCATCTGACGATACCTGAAAAACAATAATAATTGAGACCAAAAATATTTTTAAAAATCAGTTTTTAGTGGTTAAATGATACAAATTTGAAAATATCGAAGAAAAAGTTGACATATTTAGTAGCTGATTTTTTGTAACTATTTTGACTTTTTAGAAATACTAAATATGAATTGCGGTGACGTTTTTAGACCTATGAGCCAGAAATTTGGCAAAAACTCCTATTTTTTTATTGCATAGGGACATGGCCTCTTGAAACCCTGATCACAAACATGTGCGGAAGACAACTTAGTTTTTCAGAATGGAAAACTCTCGACAATTTCACTATTGCTCATTATCTGCTAGAAATGCACAAGTCAACTTTGCAGAGAAACCACAAATTAAAATAAACAGATTAAAAAAAAACATAATTCATACTTAATCAGACGAAGCTTTTAATGGTACTGTTGTAAATCGGACATTGCCGTCTTTGCATACACAGTCATTTGATATTACACACATAGCCTCTTTCCGCCACATTTTGACAATTAATTAATTCAATCAATCAGTTCATTACGACAATCAAAGTCAATTGATCAATTCAACTCAATCAACTAATTAATCAATTAATCAATGATTTACCTCTTTCTAAGTTTAAGGTTAGGTCCACGAGGTGTGATATCGTCCATAGGTTTTCCAATTCCGTGCACCTGAATATAATCTTCTATATAACAAAGCTCTTCTCTCATCTATATGTACATAAATATATCTGTTTGTCAGTCTGTTTGATTTTTTGTCCGATCATAACTCAGGAACCCCTGGACCGATTTTCATCAAATTTTTGTTGGGGAACTCGGGAGAGTCACGGGAACGTTATAAGCTCGGTTTTGTGATTGTAAGTTGAGTTGTAATTTACGACCGAGTGCGGGTAAACTGCGGTAGTAACTATGAGTAACCTGGGCATTGCTGGGTTCCAAAGCTAGTATGGAACCCATGAGTATCCTGGGATAACAAAGACTAGACAATTTTTTTCAGAAATATTTTTTTCCCTAAGATTTAAATTATTTTTTAAGTGTTTCTAAAATGCCGGGCACTTTAGCTAAATATAATATGATATGTATCCTTCTTTCATTCTTCACAGAAGAGTAACCAAATTGATTTCCAATGTTTGTCAGAACTCAGCAGAATTAAATGGCAAAACTATTTACAGAATTGCAATGCACTAGATTGTATTTGTAATCTGAGTAATCTACCAAAACTGTAAGTGAAACACAATTTGCAAAGATTTTAGATCAAAATTATTTTTAAAGGAATTATTATTTGTTAGATAAAATAAAATTGAAGTTCCTGGTTTGAAGGAGATGAAATGTCCCAAATAATTAACCATCTGTGTTGTAACTAGTTTTATTTTGTATGATATATTCAGGGTGTCTCAAAAAACGGGGAATAGGGGTCTACAGACTCATTTAAAATCGGAATTTCAAGTTTGAGACCATTTTAAAAATCTACGTTCAGTCTCCAATTGAATGAGCCCAATTTTATAAAGACAATCTCTGTTTGCACGTAAGGGTCTATGCATACATCGGATTGAGATATTGAGACCATTTTTGATATCCACGTACAATTTCCGAGTCAATGAGCCCAAGTTTTGGGCTTTGGCTTGTAGATCTAAAAATACCGATTGCACTGTAATAAACTGGAACCTAACATTGAATATTAACTTGTGCAAACGGAGATTATCTTTTACTTTTTACTTCGCTCCAGTTGGAAACTTTAGGAGCCTATAAATTTGTTATTTTTAGATCGACAAGCTTTAAATTGGGCTTATATAAATTCTACGTAGATTTTAAAATTGGTCTCAAACTTGACAATCCGATCACAAAGGAGTCTGTAGACCTGAGCTGAAAACTTTAGAACGGTGGATATCGGGATTAATGCTTAATCCACTCTTTTTCTTAATCTCGAGATTAAATATTGCTTGTTCTCCTCTCATTTTTAATCTCCAGATTAATTATCCGATCAGGATTAAGGATATCCCATTCTAAAGTTTTCAGCTCTGTTTATATAAATGTTTAGTAGTCTTGAATTTCGAATATCCTATATTGAAACTATTGTACCGGTATGCGTACAAAATAGACACATATATAATAATAATTAAACATTAGACAAACTTATTTTAACGAGCTTAACCTTAAGTGACAAGAAGCAACATTGGGGATCTTTCATGATCTTTTTCTTATCTAATATTATCGTATTTCTTCTCCCTTAAAAAGTGATTATTTTATTATTTCTGCAGCAAAGCTGTGCAAATCAATTTTAGAGAAGCACTACAGTTGTGTTTATATCCAAAAAACGTCAAAACGGCTGAACCGATCGGGTCCAAATTTTTTGTGGGACCTCGCGTGACCTCAGGGAAGATTATAAGATGATCGAATTTACAAAAATTTGCTTCAAACAAAATTGAATTTTTAGAATTTTTGAAAATCCACGATTTTTAAAACAGAATTCCTGAAAGTTTTTGTCTGTTTTTATTTTACGACATATAAAAATATAAAATGTTCACAATTGAAATGAAGATGGGCGCTAAATTAAAAAACTAGAACATCTCATTTGTTCTTGAAAGACAGGTTAAAAGGTTTTCGCGCAGTGAATTCTGGATGATAAAACTTTCAAAATAAATAGCCTCCAACAAAATTCGACTTTCATTAAATTATGTAAATCAACGAATTTATTCTATGAAATCCGCGAATTTTTTAATATATTTTACAATGTATACAAAGAGAAAATGTTCACAATTGCAATAAAAGATGGGCGCGAAGCGCCGTGAAAGCCTTATTTACGAATATTTCACTAAAAAAATATTTGTCAAAATTAAATTCTTTTTAAAGTCACCTTTCTCTTGTGAACACTAATAGAGGAGTAGGGAACTTCTTCATTACAGATTTCACAAGTTTTCTTCATCTTCTTGTGCACAGACTTGATGTGCTTGTTTAGGTTACTCACAGTCAATGCTTTACCACAGTCCGGGCACTCGGTACTCTCATTGTTATTAACGTCACCTTTCTCTTGTGAACACTAATAGAGGAGTAGGGAACTTCTTCATTACAGATTTCACAAGTTTTCTTCATCTTCTTGTGCACAGATTTGATGTGCTTGTTTAGGTTACTCACAGTCAATGCTTTACCACAGTCCGGGCACTCGGTACTCTCATTGTTATGAACCTAATCAATCAATCAATCAATCAATCAATCAATCAATCAACCAACCAACCAACCAACCAACCAACCAACCAACCAACCAACCAACCAACCAACCAATCAATAATCGATGCATCGGAGTTTAAGGAACGTTTTACTTTCCTAAATGTGAATTTTTTTTTATCAATAATATGTTGACGGAAGCTTAGCACTGCTGATAAGTATCATAAATTTTTAATCGACATAAAATTCATTTAATGCCGAGTTACTTCCGTTTATTTCTTCTATCTACTCCTTTATCTCCTCAATTATCCTTTGCTTTCCTTAGAGACTGCAGACCTAATTTCATGTGACATTCCATTTAAAAGCTGGATTCACAACGGTACCCTTTACAAACTGTACAGAGCTACAACACAAAAATATCCTTGTTTTCTATTATATATAAAAATTTTGTTTGATGGTTCTTCATCAGAGACAGAGAACGTTAATTGCAAAATTCAACACTTTATAATATGAAAATCCGATGATATCTTCCCCATTGTTGCCAAGACAAAAGTTTTAAGGGTAGTGTTGGGAATCAGACATTCCCTTCTTTAAGGTAATATCATGTACAATTACGTCTTCACTCTACAGTCCAATAAAGTTTTTAATTCTGTCTAATATATCTGCTAAGTAAATATTTACCTTTGATGTGTCTAGTAAGTGCTACCTGCTAATATGTCTACTATGTATATATTTACCTTTGATGTGTCTACTAAGTGTATAAATACCTGTGCAATATGTTTACTAAGTATCTACTTGTCTAATATGTCTACTAAGTGTATATCTACCTGTCTAATATGTCTACTAAGTGTATATCTACCTGTCTAATATGTCTACTAAATGTATATCTACCTGCATATATGTCTACTAATTGTATATCTACCTGTCTATTATGTCTACTAAGTGTATATCAACCATGTATAGTTTGTCTACTGAGTGTATATATACCTGTATAGTTTGTCTACTAAGTATATGTCTACCTTTCTAATATGTCTACTAAGTGTACCTGTCTAATATGTCTACTAAGTGTATATCTACCTGTCTAATATGTCTACTAAGTATATATCTACCTGTCTGATATGTCTACTAAGTGTATATCTACCTGTCTAAAATGCCTACTAAGTATATATCTACCTGTCTAATAAGTCTACTAAGTGTATATCTACATGTCTTATATGTCTACTAAATATATATCTACCTGTCTAATATGTCTACTAAGTATATATCTACCTGTCTAATATGTATACTAAGTGTATATCTGCATGTCTTATATGTCTATTAAGTTTATATCTACCTGTCAAATAAGTCTACTAAGTGTATATATACCTGTATAGAATGTATACTAAGTGTATATCTACCTGTCTAATAAGTCTACAAACTGTATAAATACCTGTCTAATATGTCTATTAAGTTTATATCTACCTGTATAATATGTCTACTAAGTTTGTATCTACCTATCTTATATGTCTATTAAGTATATATCTACCTGTCTTATATGTCTACTAAGGTTAGACATGGCAAATTCCTTCTCGCAGTGAGGACACGCCTTCCTAACCTGGAATAAGAATTACCAAATAAGATAATTTCTTCAACAATTATTTTTCTAGTTTATACCCAAAATTTTGTCCCCGCAATTACCAGGGGGCTTAATCAAATTTTTAAACAAGTGTTTCTAAGGAATATGGAAAATTAAACATTTTTTACAATTAAAATAATGAAATTTTGAAAGAAAAATCACGAAAATGGATTAAAAACTTGCCTTTTTAATGCCCATTTTTTCACTTATTGCCCGAGGGAGTGTTACACATACATCTACAGTTTGTTTTTAACCTTTATGACAGAAACAATCTCAAAGAATAATAATTGTCATAAAACATTTTTTAAAAGAGTGAATATTTGCAAATTATCTTTTTTCCATCTCATAATCTGAGTTCGTTTCATTTATGTCCATTTGACAGCCCAAATTTTTATTTTGAATAATCTTTTCTGTTTCTTTATTTTCTTGTGATTTTTAACAAAAATTTTTTTAAATTTTTTTTCCGATTTTGATGGTTATTATATCGTTAGAACTGACGAGGGTCAACCCAGACCGAAATATATTTTCAATAAATGTGGAACTAACATCTACTTTTTTACTCTACAGAGGTTCCGAATTTTTAATTAAATTCTATCATTTCTTTATTTCTCTTTAATTATATACTATAGATACCTGGACGTGATTATAGAGAAGTTTCTTCGCTTGGAACTTCTTCTCACAATAGGAACACTCGTAGTTTCTTATACGCTCATGGAAATACTAGAAATATGAATAGTTAGTTTCTTATACGCTCATGGAAATACTGGAAATATGAATAATTAGTTTCTTATACGCTCATGGAAATACTGGAAATATGAATAGTTAGTTTCTTATACGCTCATGGAAATACTAGAAATATGAATAGTTAGTTTCTTATACGCGCATGGAAATACTGGAAATATGAATAGTTAGTTTCTTATACGCTCAAGGAAATACAGGAAATGTGATCAATTAGTTTCTGTACGCTCATGGAAATACTGGAAATATGAATAGTTTATTCTACACTCATGGAAATACTGGAAATATGAAGTCACTCTTTAAATTAAGGGGCACTTGAAAGTACGTTTACGTTTTGCTTTTCTTTTAAGATTCGGAAAAAATTTGTTTGTTTTTTAAATAACATTTATCGTTGAATAACATTCTTTTTTAACGATTTTTAACATTTTGGGAAACATAGATTAATACGGCTGATTGAAAGCTCTTTTAACGCTTGGTGACATAAGATTTTCTTTTCGAAGATATTCGGTGGGAGAAGGTGATTAAGTGGTAGGGAGACTGGTGAGGGGGGGATATTTACTGACCTTAACATGATGATACAGATCCTTATACTCCTTGTGGCAGATGTGGCATGTGCTGGTCTCCCCCAGGTGGATCTGCTTGATGTGGTTCTTCAGCGCGTTTTTCGTCACAAACTTCTGCTCGCACAAGGAGCACTCGGTCACCTAGTTCAGCAATTTAATCAATCAATCAATCAATCAATCAATCAATCAATCAATCATTATACTTTCTGTCTGGGTCAGAATTTAACAAATTATAAGACAGGGCTTAGAATCCATTTAATTTTGATGCGGATCCGGATCCTGGATCCGCACTGAAAAAAATGGATCCGGATCCAGGTCATTTCCTATAGATTTACTGAATTTTTTTCGACAAAAAATAATTTTCCATTACATTTTTTTCGCTTATTTTTATCCTAAAACTTGATGAACCATTCAGAAATGAGGAAATTTTTATAATCTCTCTTTTTCAAAAATTCAGATTTGGGTTTTAGGAGTAAATGTTTTTTTTTTGCAGTTTTGGGTTGATATTTTACCCCTTGGATCTGGATCCAGGAACCCAAAATCTTGCGGATCCAACGGATCCAGATCCTAAGCACTGGATAAGAAAAAGAAATGTTTAGAATAAACCAATTTAAAAACATTTCCTTCTCTCGCAATATACAAAATGTGCCAAAAATGAACCGAAAAAAGAACCAGAGTTTGGAACTTTAGAAAGGGATGTAATAAATATCGTGTAACACGATGTCTGTATTTACCTAAACTACATTGTACATTATTGCTAAATTTTCAGCTTAATATCTCTAAAATTTAGCTCAATATCTCTATTTTTTAGCTCAATATCTCTAATTTTTAGCTCAATATCTCTAAATTTTTAGCTTGATATCTCTAATTTTTACCTCAATATCTCTAATTTTAGCTCAATATCTCTAAATTTTTATCTTAATATCTCTAAATTTTTAGCTCAATATCACTAAATTTGTAGCTTAATATCACTGAATTTTTTAGCTCAATATCATTAAATTTTTTGCTCAATATCTCTAAATTTTTAGCTCAATATCTCTAAATTTTTTGCATCTCTAAAACTCTAGAATATAATCGCTGCTTAAGTTTGAAAAAGACTCCATTTCCTTCGTGATAGTCCAGAAAGACGAAATCCGTTGAATTAGTACAATGGGAAAATTTACCGCGCGCCATTCTTTAAAATCATTTGTGGACCCCTTAATATGTATAAATATATATATTTTCAAGAATTACACGTTATTTCAACCATTTCCGGAATTACCCTTTATTTCGTTGTCTGATAAAGGAGGAATTATTAATTCTAAAATAATGACTAGCGGATTTATGAAGGAGAGACAATGAAAGAAATTGCCAGAATTCAACGAGTTTTTAGTATTTTTTGTTGTTGGTACCGTTGTGAATAGGCCGCTCAAATTTAAATGGAGACACTTGAAATTCCGTTAACAGTCCCTTTAATATTTGATAATAAAAATAAATATATGATTTCGTCTAAAACGTTTTATCTGCCCAAATCTTTCGATTTTGTGAAAAATGTCGAAAAATAAACAGTTTCTTATATTTACGAGGTTTAGGAAATAAACTTGACGTAGTTCATAAATTATAAATTTGATAAATATCTTACTGTCGAGTCTTCAAGTCCAGTTAGGTTAGCACTAGTATCAATGATACTAGAGTCATCCAAGATACTGGAGTCATCCAACATACTAGACTCATCTATCATTCCATTCTCATCCACCATTTCAGTTCCTAGATAAATATTAATTGATACTATTCTCACTATAGATACTTTAACCATAATACTTTGACTATTCTTATTTTACAATGGTCGTTGTTTATATCAATAAAAGGTAGACTACTTTCGATTTAAATTTTTGATTTCTACCAAACTTTCAAAACAACACGGATTGGATACAACATGGAAACAAAGAAAAACTGTCAATTAACACCTTCTCCTCGTTTACTTGTAAGGTTGTAATTTGAACAAGCTCGTTGGATATTATAACTTACATAAAAAATAGTCTTCCTTGTATTGATATAAACGCCGACCTATGTAATTCTTCGATAATAATTCTAAACAATTAAACATATTTCAACATATTTCAAAATATTTCAACATATTTCAACATATTTCAACATATTTCAACATATTTTTACACATTTCAACACATTTCAACATATTTCAACATATTTCAACATATTTCAACATATTTCAACATAGTTTAACATATTTTTACATATTTTTACATATTTCAACATATTTCAACAATCAACATATTTCAACATATTTTTACATATTTCAATTTTCAACATATTTCAACATATTTCAACATATTTCAACATAGTTTAACATATTTTTACATATTTACACATGTTTCAACATATTTTTATACTTTAAAGAATTAATTAAAAGATATGTATGATATACCTGAGGCTATAACGGTTGACCCTTCAGGTATACCGTCAGGTGCATTAGGGTCAGCTTCAAGGGTCTCCAGAATTAAAACCCCATCCTTAATGACAAACTAGATTAAAACCCCATCCTAAATGACAAACTAGATTAAAACCCCATTCTTAATAACAAACTAGATTAAAACCCCATCCTTAATAACAAACTTGAATAAAACCCCATCCTTAAAAACAAACTAGATTAAAACCCCATCCTTAATAACAAACTTGATTAAAACCCCATCCTAAATAACAAACTTGATTAAAACCCCATCCTAAATTACAAACTTGATTAAAACCCCATCCTTAATAACAAACTAGATTAAAACCCCATCCTAAATAACAAACTTGATTAAAACCCCATCCTTAATAACAAACTAGATTAAAACCACATCCTAAATAACAAACTTGATTAAAACCCCATCCTTAATAACAAACTAGATTAAAACCTACAATTGCAAATAATCAATTTTAAAATAAAATAAATGGATATCTCATTAATTCTTACTCATATGATGCTTTAAAATCTGACATGCCGCTATGTAAATGAAGGGCTCATTAAATTATGTCTCAGTCCCGTTAACACTACCCGTAAAATCTTCATATCAGAATATCCACAAAGGATACATCAAACTGATTTGTGAATTTTCAGGCCAATATTTAATTTACTTTTTCCTCATTCTGATGTTATTTATTTTCCCTGAATAGTTAATTAAAGGAAATATCTAAGTTAAAATATGGAAGATATTCTAGCTAGAAATTCTGATTATTTCTGGAAATGCCACTCAAATCAAAAGAGGGTCAGTTTAAATTACGATCACAGACCTCTAAGATTCCCCCCCCCCCCACAAATCATAAAAACCCTTTCACCTCTTCGAATTCTTCCTGGACTGCCTCACCAAGCTCCTCTCCCTCCTCCTCGTCTCCGTCCTCTGTATCAGACACAAATATTTCATCCTTGATAGGCTGATACTTGTAAGCCATTTTTTCTTTAAAAAATATAACAATCTGAAGGATGAACATATAATATATTTTTAAATCTACAAATTTTGTTTTCTGAAAATATTTCAAAATAACTCTAAAAAGTATCATGTAAAAACGTCACAAAAAATTTGTTTAATTAAAAAGTAAAAAATGTCAAGATATGTCGACAAGAAAAGTTTACGGAGAATTGAAAGATTTGGGTTCCTTATAATAGCTCAAAAATAGTTCACACATTTTCTAGCTAAATATTCTGCTGAAACTTTTTTATGGAGGTTTTAATAAACAATGGATTAGTTGACATTTCCAATTTATGTTTAAGTAAGAAAAAAATGTCTGTTTTAAAACTGGGCCAAAATGTTTCCTCATGACTATTTGTAAAATTTTTTTCATGTAATATTGTTTAAAAAATTGTTGCCGATAAATTCAGATCTCATGATTCATCACAACTCTGCTTGTGGCGCCGCGTCCATCATCTTGGTGAGCCTAATCTTTTCCTTCTCCTGCTGTTTGTAGCTTTCCATCTCCTTGGCGAACCTTATCTTATCCTTCTCCTGTTGGAGCATGTAGGGTGCCTTCATTTCCTCGCTCATCTCCTTCCACTGCCGAGACAACACCTGTTCCAAGGTATATGTTAAGCTTTGGCAGATTTATTCCCTAATTTCGAAGATTCCCCCCCCCCTCAAAAATTGGTGGATTTTATACTTTATACTTGGCTGATTTCTATAAATTTGAAGTCTGACCCAATTTGGTTCTGAGAGGGATTAGTTAAACCATTATTGAGCAGAACACTTTTCAACTTTTAAACGTTGTTTGTAGAAGTTCATCCAAAATAACTTTATAGATATCTATCCGTACCAACCTCAAGCTACAATTTATGTTTCAATATTTACAAATAATATCATTTAACTCCAAAAATTCACAAGTTTTTATTTTAAGTTTTTGTTTACGTTTTGGATATCTTATTGGTTCATATTTTTTCTTTATAAGTAAGTATGCTATGCACGCAGGGACGGAAGGGGGTGAAATATCAAAAAAATGGTGGGGGGAGGGGGCTAAAGTGTTTTCTACAATTTTTTAACATATAACCCTGCCTTAGCGACTTCAGTCACTGAAAAATCTGGATTAGCCGCCATGCATCTCTCTCTCTTTTTGTTCATAAAGAGAAAGAATGCTGTCATGCCTTGCTTTGGTTTATTAGGATCCCGTTTCTCTTTCTTTCCTTTCTTTGGAGTTGGTTTCTTTTCTGATTCCTTCTTTTTATCCAGATCTTCACACTGAATAAACCTCTTTATCATCAGCGCTTATTTTCTTCCACTTTTTGAGACCAACCTCAGAGCACATGGCCCAGAGGACATCTTCGGGTGCCTTCGGCCAGCCTTTGATCAATTCGCGATGAATTATTTCGAGGAACCAACGTTGAGCAGACCAAGGGTGGGGGGAATTCATCTCCATTCTACAGAACTCTGAAAATTAAAATCTGTTACTTTACTTGGCGTAAGTGTGTAAATATCTAATAAATTAAACAAATTCATGAAAATGACGGTGATATTTCAAGCACGAAGGTGGGAGGGGTGTCCATGTTATGAATTTTTGAAGATCCCCCCCCCCCACCTTCTCACATTGCTTGGTTTTTTTTTATTATTATTTCCTTACTGCACTCTGAAAAATAAAAACTATTGTTTTTTCTAAATTATTTCAGGGTTAGATTAAGGTTAACTACAATTTCTGGGCCGAGTCCTGCGGTGGGGGGGTCCGAAAATCGTATACTAGGAAATTACCAAATAATTCTGATAAATATCATATCATACCTTCGTCAGAAATTTGTTTATTTACGAAGTAGAAAAGTGTCGAGACAAGAAAAGTTGCCGGACAATTGAAAGATTTTGAACGCAAAGGTCGTCCATCCATTTTTTATGTCGTCAATTTTTAATATCGCCATTATAAGATTATTACAAAAATGTCACAAAATAATAAATATAAAAGAACAAAACTTGAAGGATATTTAAACTGTTCACTTAACCAAATCATATGATATGGCAATGATTATTCACGTTCGGCTTGAAATCCGATTTTAGAAAAATAAGAATGACGACTGGGTACACCGACGACCATAGACGCCATCTTGCCAAATATTAGCTGGGGTAGGGGAGTCGGGGTTTCATCTCTGTCAAGTACGCATGCGCAGGCAGCTTTCCAACCGGCGGATCGGTACGGGGTTTTCTGGATTGGCGCGTTTTCTCCGTCCCTTCACGCATGCGCATGATTACATTGAAAACTTTCTGCATTAAGTTAATAGACTTAACAGAATTTAGAAAGCAGCCGAATCGAATTTATAAAATATTAAATAAACCAAAGAAAAGTAGTTTTTAATAAATTACATTACACCCAGACGCGTATTTAGGGGGAGGGCTTATGAAGCCTGCAGCTCCCCCCTGGGAGGGAGGGAGTCCAGAGTTCCTCAAATAGTAATTTCACCGCCACCCAAATCTGTTTTGCAGCAAGCGCGCTCCTCAATTGGTGATCTCCACTACCTCAAATAGTTATCAGCCCAAAAAAGCATAAAATTAAGTCGTTTATTTCTTAGAAATAAGACCATATTGACCTCTTTTAATGGCCCTATGGTGTACAATATTGTTAAAGCTTTCTTTATTGCTCCTTAGTTTCGAAAATAAATCAATAAATATGCCACACTAAGTGCTAGAAATATATTACGTTTTTTAGTTTCAAGTTTCGCTTTAAGAATGTTTGCGGCATTTTCCTCTGAATGTTGTTTTNGTTTATATTCATCATTTTAAAATCAGCAATTAAAATCCTAAAAATTGTTCTTGTATTCCGCGCTTAAACAAACCAAATTCTGTAGGAAAATATGATTTTTGTTGAACATGAGGGGGGGGGGGCTTTTTATCAAAAGACATGTTTTTATTCTTTTTATCACTTCATACCCAAAAATTCAACATAAAAACCCTACTCTATTTTGCTGCTGCGCGCAAACAAACATATTCATTTCTGGCTGAAGAATTATTTTTGAAAGAAAAGATTTTTAAATTGGAACGAACTTTTTTGTTACAAACTCTAATCCCTATTTCTTTGAACTCTTTGAAACCAGATGGTGTAAACCTTTGATATTTCAAACTTAGGATTTTTGATCAACAGAATACATAATTTAAAAATATCAAAGATCTACATTGAGTTGCCCAGATATGGGGATTATAATTTTGAGTTTGTACCAAAACCCATTTCCTTTGCACCTCTGATATGAGATATATAATCAACAATGTTCTAATGTCTAAACCATGCAAAGCCTAAGTATGACAGATTTAGGGAATTAGGCTTCAGAGGCCGACTGCCTTATAGAAAAAAACATTTATGGTTCCATGGAACTTTAAAACTAATAATATTTTTACCAAATCGTCGTTTATCAATGAACGACAATATTCTAGACAAATCTACCAAATTTATCCTTCAGAAAGTTAGATATTCAGATAATTGAATTTAAATCGCTTTACGTTTCATCCTCTGCATTTTTTTTTGCATGATATTTACAGAAATTATATTTATATTAAAATTATTTTTTTTGAGTTCTCCAAATTTTTTAATAGATTGATAAAGTACCACAATATGACAGGTGCAATGTCTTCAAAACAATAAATGACATCTATATGCAGTTACAGAATTTCAAGTTTACATCTTGTTAGCTTTCCTTTTCTTTCACAACCAAGCCTAACCTATAGTTTTAAAAATCTAACACAGGGTGTCCCACGAAACATGACAGTGGCAAGACGAAATGAAGATTTTTCGAGGTGGCTCGGACGAGAAATTGTTGTGGCTGGCCTTCCTCCCCTTGCTGGACAACTAATTTTAGAATTAAAATTCTAGAGTTAATAATCACAAATTATCCCTAGTAGTGACATTCCCAAAAAGGCCGACAACATTTTGTAAATCCCAGGACTAGGTGAATGGTTATTGAGCTCAAGAATCGTACATGTGAAATTAGGTTAACTACTAGATGTCAAAATTATAAATTTAAAGAAGACTTTTAAGTTGTTTTGCTATTGTCACGTTTCGTAGAACACTCTGTATATTGCATATTGTACACAAATAGATCCAGACTGCCATGAAAAATTGCATCAATGTTTAAGACTGGACAGACTTTTCAGTGTTGCAACGCCATGGCCTTTCATTTTACCTGACTTACTTATACTTTTTCGTAGCACAGGACTTTGTTTTTTGACCTTGGTTATACATTTTTCGTTTTTGTTTGGAAGCTTGCAACCTTTGGATTACTGTGTACAGTGAGACCCTCAGAACTGTAGAATAGGAAGACGACTACTTTTGATTTTAATAACACTGAAGTACAGCAATTGTGCATTAATTTCATACAATTCATTTGAAATTAATTTTTAAGGTACATTAATCGCAGGCCCATCTAGGATTTTATTAAGGAGGGGGGGGGGGGGCACAAACGTAAAAATAGCATTGATGGACAAGTATAAGGGGGCACCGGGGGCGAATTTTTTTTACCTTTAAAACTTTATGAGGGCAAAATTAATGAAAGTAGACTGAGAAACTAGAGTTGAACTTATCACGCATAATTTATTAAGATAGATATATCGACTGTTTTCGTTTCCTTAATTGCTATTGAATGATTGAGAAAATTTTTGCATCAAAACAAAATAACTGGAGGTATAAGATGTTGAGATTTGAGTTTAACTATAAATAAATGAAATAGTGAACATTTTTAAATCACAAATAGCCAATACTTATTCTTAATACAGGGAAAGTAAATGTCGTAACTTCCTGTAAAGATCAAAAAAGTTCTGGCATGGAAATTTTCAATTTTATTCAAAACTAGAATTCGAAAAACCTTCCCTGCCATCTTTAGAATGAGTTCAAACAGCTTTTTCTACACCTGGCCATTATTAGTTTATAATTTAAATTTGTCTACAAGTTACTTTTTAGTTTTTTTAATTCACAATTTTTTATAATTCGCAAACTTTTTTGTTATACAAAGAGAAAATGTTTCCAATTGAAATAGAAGATGTGTGCGAAGCGCCCTCAAAGCCTGGTATCTAATCATTTATCATTAACAATAAATAAGAAATCTAATAAATTACATTTATTAAACATAAATCAAAAATAACAAAACAAAAACCATTCCTATCTCTATTTAAAAAGATTAAAAAGTTTTTTTTAAGTAGCATAAAGCTGCACAGTGCACAATTTTTATAATATTTTTGAATGAATACTATAGCTAAAAGTATATATCCAACAGCAAGAAAAATATTATGTCTCATCAGTTGAAGAGAAACAATAATTACAATTATTACGTACATTCAGTTGATATAAAAAACTACGGGTTATGTCTAGCTCGTCTAGCAGCCTTTCCGTTTTCATACAGGGTGTCCCAATACACATGAGAATTAAATGACGACTTTTATATCATCTTTGTTCCAAGCGGATTATTTCGTTAAATCATTTTCTAGTGTCACAGTTAAACATTTAACACCTAAAACTAGTAGTTTCGAGATTTCCAAAATGTACATAAAGATGTATAGAGATAGAAACGATAAATACATTTATACAGTTTGTTCAATTTTTATAAACAAAAATAAGTGTGATGTTTTGCAGCTTTTTTGTTATTAAAACTTTTACGTCACTTCCGTTTTTTGAAGATCAAATTTCATTTTAAACACATTTAAATATTTTCCCTATAAATAAAGCTAAAGCCCGGATATAGAAATCTTTTTTAAAAGCTTAGAAAGGAAGACAAAAATTGTTTTTGTTTTTTAAATAAAACTATATTTTATATTTATCACATATCCCATAAATGGATGTTCATAGAAGCATCCGTAACATTATGGTGAATTATTTTTTTCTAATCAATATATTTTATCTATGTCACAGAATTGGAACGTATCTTTAAAATCATTGGTAAACCATTGGAATTCTGCATAAATGGGAGGATCATACGAGAAAACAAATATTGAGCAAAAATGTGATTATTTTAATACTTCATCTTCCCCAATTAAGAAGTATAGCGTCAAATGTTAGTCCACTTCATCCTGCCCTGGGCTATCCAGACCGGGACGAAGAAAACATTCACCCTTATGTTGCTTCCAATCAGCTTTTTGACACGCTGTGCTGCAGTAGCGTCTAACCCTACACCTGGTGCATAACCTGAAGTTAAACTTCCAGTCCAGTTCAAGGCAAGCAAGCCGTCCACACTTGATCACATACTTGTCCTCAGCAGCAGTTTCTTCCTTGGAGGTAGCGTCATCAAGCGGAAGAGCTTTCTTATAAATCTCATTAGCTGTTTTCTCATCAAGGATTTCCTTTAAAGCAGCATACACGGACCCGTAGTAGTGTATAATAGGCCAGTAAATATTGGGGTCTCTAGCAACATGCATAGGATGGAGATCCATAGGCCGGAGGGCCATCACACGGATTGCAATGATTACTTCTTGCTTACAGAGGTTCATAAAAAAATCGTGTTGGGTTTTTAAGTCTTCCGGATGATAGATTACACTGTAGAAGGCATTTGTGTATGTTTCGTCTCGGCTGATCTGGAACAAATTCTTATACACACACATAATCCTTACTGAGGCACTTGGGTCACAATATATGCATTTCTCTTTCTTCGGAGGTATGGTTTCGTAATGTTTACACACATACCATGGCTGATCTTGATGTAACCTATGGTAGTATTGCTGGTCGAGAGCGGCAGCCTTCACATCCATCCTTCTTTCAGTATCTATCTTAGATAAAGTATCAGGTATACTGTCAGGCTTTTGAATAAATATGCTATTTTCAACCGATCTACAGAATCTGTAAAACATATGTTCGTTGGCCACACAACAAAGGGTAACCTCTTTTTTCTTTAAAAAGGAATATGCCTCCTTAAACAAATGGATGCTGAAACATTCTTCTACTAATGAAGACTGGTTATTGAGGTCAATGAGGTTGAGTCGGAACATTATAAATCCAACAACTGAAGGAACCCTGAAAACAAAAGGGTTTCCATTTTGGTGTTGCTTCTTGTAAATCAGAATTAGTTCTGTGCTGATGAAATCGTTCTCAAACATAGAATGATAGACCACCTGCGGGATCTTATAAAGACTATAATACGCAAAGAGGTTGTCTTTTGAAGCTCTGGTCTGATCCTTATGTTCAGCTTGAATCCTTCCAATTCCAGCCATGGCTTCGACAGAATTATGCTTCAGGGCCATGTTGTAATATTTAATGGCCTTCCTGTTACTGAAGGGATTACCCTTTACAAAAGGAGGACGGAGTGCAATTGCGCATTTGTCCCATTCACAAATAAACCTGAACTCATATGTTAAACCAATGACCAGAGCGGCTTTCCAGTCTCCAGACTCGGCCAAATTTTTCAGCTCCTTTCTGGTTATATTTGGTCTAGCATTTAGGAAGTTCTTGATCATCTTTAAAGTAACAGCATTGCCATGAGAAGACCTGATACAAGCAAAAAACCTGGCTAACGTATTGCAGGGGTTTTGTTGATCTACTTTGCATTGCTCTGACAGATCCCTGCACTGAGGACTGCAGTACCAGTGGGTTTTACAGTTGCAGATCAGAGCATTCTTGCTGAATTCAATGTCAAAGCGACAGTTGAAGCATCTGGTGTTGTTGTTTGTTAAATCCAAGACATACTTGTTGCTCTTGCTTGATTCAGATAAAAACATTTTACCAAGGGCTTTAGATAAACTAGAGGAATCGGAACCTTCTGCCATCATTAGAAATCTGTACCGACAGCTACATCAACCTAGGAAAAATTAATTCAAAAATCAACTTAACCCTATCCCTGCTGGTGTACTTGAAAACCAGGATATGCTGGGTGAATAGGGTTAAATGTATTTATATTTGTAATTTGTAAAAAGAAATTACAAAAATTTGTTTCTGAGTAAATACTACTACTAAAAGTAAATAGCTACTGCTATGGTTGGCAGCTCCCAGTGATCATGGCTCACAGCTGGCTCATCAAACATTAAAAATTCCAAAACTTCAGTCATCAATTTTTTTCCTGCCACTTTTTTAATTTTCTAAAATAATCATCCAAGGTTTTACATGTCTCATACTTCGTACAGAATATGATAATCTTGTGAGGAACGCGGCCTTTGTTAAAGAATACATCAAGATTATTTCACCTCGTTTAAGAATTTTCATTATTACATTTTTATCCTCATAATATTAATATTATATCATATTTGTGAGGTTCCATGAAAATATACCCAAAAAATAAGATGTAAAAAACTTCTGGTGTAATACGACTATATCAAGTTGGAACAATTGACATTATTAAGGGTAGCAAATAATTTTTTATATATCATGATGCTCTTGTTTTGACTATCACGGTTTATATTTTCATTTTCTAATGTTACAATGCTAAAATGTTAAAAACCCTTAATATATGTAAAAGTTGATTCTTCATTTGAATATAATGCATGTGGTGTGATTGTTTTCTTGGTTTGGTTTGGTTACCAATTACTACTGCGTTTGCTTGATTTTTCAAGTGGATGCTACAGTTTAATCTGGCATGTTGATTGTTGAACGTATACCCTGAGTTTTTAGAAGGGAAGAAGTTACGAGTATAGTAGTACGTTTCCTTAATCTACTGATCAAAATAGTGAAATTATTTACAATAAAATTGTCTTCTGGATATTAGATCCTAAATCATCCAAAAAGAGGAGAGAAAATCGGGTTATCTACCAAGAACCAATTCAAGAAATGAAATGATTAAGATCTGTGTCTTCTATTTATGAATGAAGATTTGCTGGTTGGTTTTTTTGCTACTGAGTGCTAAGATCCTACTAAAAGTTTGACATTGGTATTCCAACCACTCAAACCAACCAACCCTGGTTAGGCGGGTCCAAACTGCATAGTAAATTGTGATTGCTTATTTGTAATATCTCAAGCTTTGTAGTTTAATAAAAATATGAATGAATGAATAACTAGTTTTTTGAACTAACGTCTTAATTCTGTCTAATTTGTCCAAATATTACAACTGAATTTGGAACTTTGGAAACGCTCTTTTTGTTCAGTATGAAGTTATAAGTGAAAAAACAGTTCAGTGAAATTATGAAAAACCTGACAACTTTTCCATTTTTGTAAAGTTCCAGCGCTGAGTGTATAAATATGCAGAGATTTGTAAATCTTTCAAAACTTAGTTTGCAATGAAGAAAAACTAAAAAATTGTTAGTATAAAGTAGGCACTCGGGCAGTATGCTTTGGGACTAAAGCAGATCGATGAAAATGTTCAATACATTTTTTTTTTTTGAAAACTCCGAAAATGTTAACGTCCTCCGAATCATTCATTCTTAATGAGATATGTTAATTTAATGCAGGGGGTTGGATTCCCTCCCTCTTCCACTCTGCTGTCAGAACTGAAACGGTTAAGATTTAAATGGAAATTCCTGAATCAAGGTATTTTAATACTTCTAAAACGAAAAAAGGTAAGTGAGCATGAAAAGGTACGTTTGTATGTTTTAATAAAGTAAAAGGTAAGTTTTTGCGACGCGCCAATTTTTTTTTGGCTTCCCCCCTTTACAGCTTTAGGAGGGTAATGGCCCCCTTGCCAACCCTGTTTACGCCCTTGCTAGTATAATAATTTCCATTCTTTAATGCTCGGAGCTCTGAACGTGTAATAATTTCCATTAAAATGAAAATTCTACATCTATAGTGTAAGAAAAAGCATTCTTAAACGCTAGGAATCCACAATATTGAGATTTATTCTTTCAAATCGTGTAGTAATGGGAATTCTTGCACGATAGGTTTACTACTAAAGAACCGAACAGATATAATATGACAACTAATCTGAGAAAAACCAAAAATAAAAATAGTTTGAAGTCAAATGTAAAATGAGTCAGTGCTATTACCATGAAACACTCGGAAACAATAATTATTTAACAAATTTATGATTTCTCCAGAATTGTAAAAAGTACATCATGACTGGTTGAAACAGATCCACATATAAAAATTGGATTAATTATATTTGGTTAATGCATTTTAAAAGGTGCACTGGACCCTTTATGCACGGCACTGAATTCCTTTGCAAGGTAAATTTATCTTTTTTAAACCTTTAATATATGAAATAGTAATTCTGCCTCAACCATGTCAATCATAAGTTTATAAGACTTATTGAAGTCTTAACAAATTTAAATTAAATAATTAGATAAAAAGTTTTATATTAAAAGGGAACCCACCTTTTATTTTCAAAATGGAAGCTTCACATTTCCATTTCTTGAAAAAGATTCTGAAAAATGAAAACAAATTAGCAGCAAACAAACAAAAGCATTCAGCACCTTCAGGTTTGACAAACTATAAGGTTCCTGAACTATATTGAGTTTGGTTTGAAAGTCGAAAGTAAAGAATGAGAGTTTAGTAAAAAAACAGGAATGTTTAAAATTAAATAAAACAAGAATACTTATGGTTAGTTACTTCAAGATTTAAAGACTTGGAGAACAAAGTCTGAGTACTGAGTCTAAAACTAAAGAATGCGCGAATTTTAAGTTCGAGGTTAAAAGTTCTGTAAAATAATGAGTAGCTACTTAAATATTAAACTTTCTCAATTTTAAATTTGAATTTCCCGGGAAAATCTGAACCAATCAGAGAAAAGGATTTACGGAGAATATTACATAACCATCCCTAATCAGCTGATTACGTAACCGAAAACAAAACATATTTCGAGTTACAACCGTATTTTGGTTTTACATGCAAAAATTTTATGTTACATAATTATATAATTTTTCTATGCTTAACAATATTCACAAATTTTAATTTAATGACTTTTTAATACTTTTAGATAGTTAATGGCACTAACCAAAGTAAACATTTTAAAGGCACTACAGATATTATTTCAAGTAACCCTCCATCCAAATTCACAATGGTACCCTGTACACCGTTATCTAAGAAACAATGTAAAAATTACATGAAATCTGAGTAATAAAAAACCGAAGCATGCATGAATTTCAGAATTAACAAATTTTTTGTTTAAAAATCAGATTTCTTTATACACAAAGGGACAAATTGTAAAAGGCAAAATACCATAAATTGATTCAGGTGGATTTATAAAAAGTAAATATAAAATGCTAGGCATTAATTGTAAGTTTTTATAACAATAAAAGTTGATTAGTTTATCAAGGTTTTCCAAGTTTTCCTTAAGATATATTCCGAAAATCTTATTACAGACTTCAAGTTATCTTTTGATGATATTTATCTAAGATTCAATTTTAGGAGAATATTTTTGTCAAGTTCTTAAAAATGGTTCTATGAATGTAGATCAATGCAGTTTTAATCCACTTCTTGTTGCAAACCAGGACAGAGAAAATCCTTATTCTTATGGAATTCCAAACACATTTTGGCAATCTTTGCTGCAGTAGCGTCTCAGCTTACATCTGGTGCACTTCTTAAAATTAAAGTTTAAGCTCCTGTTACTGAATTGAATTCCCTTTACAAAGGGAGGACGAGCGATATTGCGCATTTGTCCCATTCACAGACAAACCTCAGCTCATAGGTTAAACCAAGATAAGAGCGGCTTTCCAATCCCCGGACTCAGCCAACTTCTTAATCTCCTTTATGTTTTTTTCCGGCTTGGGGTTAAGATAATCTTGAATCATGTTTGGGGTATCACCATCACCAAAGGCAGCATTGAGCAGTAAATAAAAGCAGGTTAAAGTATTTCTTGATTCAAGTATCGTCACCATATCTATCTCTGCAGTGTGGGCTTCAGTACCGGTGGAATTTACAAGGACAGGTAAGCCCATCTTTGCTGAAATGAATACAATAACAGCATCTCCAGCACCTTGTGTAGATGTTTGATACGTTCAAGACATATTTGTTGATTTCGTTCGGATCAGATATAGACACAGCCCAAGGCACCAGTTAATTGTCATTGAACCCCTCTGCCATCTTCAGAACACAGTCTCAACAACCTAGGACAATTTAGACTCAACTACATCATCTATATTTAAATTTAGCTTATCTGTGTCTAATTGTTTGTAATAGATAAACGTCAAATAGCTGAACTGATTGGGCCCGAATTTTGTGTGTGACTTCACATGACCCCAGGGAAGGTTTATGGACCATCAAAATTATTTGTTTATGCATTATACTATCCAAAGACCGTACTGTCACAGAATTTCTACTGGAGGGTTTGGTTAGGCTTAGGATTTACAACCCTGGTTGATCAAGAACTTCAGCTCCTTGATGCTTCTGCAGACCCACATCCTTTGTACCAGCGACAAAAACCCCAGCCATCACAAATAAACCAATTTTTCCAGGATAATTCACATTTAAAAATTTAAATCTCGGTCAAATTATACCTAAACTGGCCATCCTAGAGTTTCTCGATAAAAAATTAACGAAAAAAATTAACAATTTTATCCTGTTGAATATTGGCTTTCCTTGTTAAAGTTGTTTTTTTCGTAAAAATTCAAACTAGTAAAAATTATAAATAATTTTAAATGACTATAAAATATTAGAAACCTCATAAAAAGTAGAATATTACGAAAAACTGTAATCTTTTGTAAAACTTTGAGAGGGCGGACCGGCCTCCTTTAACAACAGAAAAAGCTAAAATTATCTACAGAACTTTTAGAGAAACAAGTTTTACTTTATTAAAAAATAAGTTATTAGGGTACAATGGTAAATCGGACATGTAACACTTTAGATGGAGGGTAACTTAAATTACGTCGACAGTACCTTTAATAATCCTCAAAAAAAACATGGGCGATCTTAAATTCCCATCTTAAGGGTTTTCAGTTGATACCAAGAACAACAATTCAGACATTTTGACCCAAATAAAACCTCGCCGTGTTCGGAATGCTTAATTAGGGAAAATAAATAAGATTTTGGATAATAATAATAATAATAATTATCACTGTAAACCTCTAATCATGATCAGGGTTGAGCTTAAAAACGTGTAAATTCCTCTACATTAACTCAGTTATTAGCTGAGTGGGTAAAAAGTATCAGAAAGGGGAAATAAATCCAAAGTAAAAGTCCAATTTTGAATTTCAAGGAGAGCAAATTATTAAAAACCCCGAAGGAGATCTTAACTTCTAGGCGTTTAAAATGTTATACTTTTTAATTACCTTATTTGTAATTTAAAAATGGATTCTTTTTCTTTTCTCCATTCTTGATTAAAATTCTGAAAAAAGAAAACAGGATTTCAAGCAACCAGCTTTCAATTAAATTATTAACTTAATAACAAGAACATATGATTGCTCAGCGATGACAAGTTATGTGTTCACAATTATTGTGTGAACATTTTATATAAGAGTAAAAAAGAAAAGAATGGAACAGGAAGGAAGGATGTAGGACTATGATTTAAGATTTAAGGATCAGGAATAACAGGGATTGTAGATTGGAACAGCAAGATGGAAGGAAACATGACTATGATCTGAGTTCTGATGATTCTTGAACAGGAATAACAGGACCAAGAGGGGATTGAAGGGTGAAGAGAACAGGAGAGATAAAGGAAACAGGATTATGATCTGAGTTCAGATGATTCTTGAACAGGAATAACAGGACCATGGTTGGACTGAAGATAGTAACAGCAAGATTAAATAAAATAGGACTATGATCTGAGTTCTGATGATTCTTGAACAGGAATAACAGGACCAAGAGGGGATTGAAGGGTGAAGAGAACTGCCAGATTGGATAAAGCAGGATTTTCCTTCTCCAGAAACCGGATCCAGGACAGCAAACTCTCCCTTAAAAAAGTAGTTATATAAAATGCCGAAAATAATATCTAAAAAAAATATATAAAAATGGAATAATAAAAGTTAATCAAAACAATTTATGTTGTTATGATAGTTAAGAAAATGATGCGTTGAGCATCTTTATTGAAAAAAAATTCCATTTAAGGTCTTTGGGCTCGCTCCATACAAGTAAGCTTTCTTTTACATTATGCAAAATGTTGAGAATTAGACAAAACAAATGACAAACAATCGTTCGTGAAAAGAATAGCTCAGACGCAATTTCAAGTGACGCTTAATACCCGATTCACTACGGTACCCTTTAAGTCTATATCTCAGCAACAAGATGTTTTCCATCTGTAAATAACGTTGTTTGTCTCTTTGGCATAAAACTTGCAAGTTCCTTATATTAAGAAAATAGGAAAGTTTTAGATAACGGATATTTTCATCATTTTTACGCAGACTTTGGGTTAAAAGATATAACGATGCAAACTTTTAAACCCTATTCCGGCTGAGGGGGGGGGGGGGGTGGGGCCCCCTTGCCTTTTTTTTTGGAGATGACTCAAAAAGTATTGGTCTATGGCTGTTCAAATTTTTTGACTTTTCTAACTAACACATGCCCCTCAGGCTCAAAGCGGGCTTTCTTTTTATAGCTCTTAAGGAAGCCTTGAACAAAAAGGAACATTTTTTGCGAAGAACTTTTGCATAGATTTTTGCACAGATGCCTTTACAGAGAATTTGCATATTTTCAGTTATCCTTGAATACAAATTTAGTTTTTGAAAATTTTGCAAATATTTTTGCATATTTGAATTTGTCGTTGTAATGGCTTTTTAAAAATCTATAATTATAAAATTTCGCGCACATTTTTTGCCTAATGACTTGATATTGCAATGAATATTTGAAATTTTGAAACTTTTCAATTTTTATGCAGATTATTTAAGTAGAGCCCAAGGGCTTTCCAAAAATGTATCAACTGTAATAGGGTTAAGCAATTATTTTTGAAGCAAGTTAAAAATGCTCTGATTTGAAAAAAAACCTTACCTCGATGAAGACCCTGTTGCTGCAACTGCTAAAATTGTTCCATCCTCCTAAACAAACAAAATGTTTAAAATTTAATTAATCTAAAAAATATTATATTGAATGTAGTTTATTTTATTCTGTTATCTGTATAGATGTCTCTGCTGGTTAGAACGTAAAAAATCCGCAAACCTACCTGTTCATGAACAAATAGTTCTATTTATTCTGAATAGATGTCTCTGCTGGTTAGAATTTAAAAAATCCGCGAACCTACCTGTTTATGAACAAATAGTTATATTTATTCTATATAGATGTCTCTGCTGGTTAGAACGTAACACATCCGCAAACCTACCTGTTCATGAACAAATATTAAGGTTAAAAGATACAAGATTAATTAAAGTTTGAGGCTAGTGAGCAGTTCTTGTACCATTTAATGTAATTTTATACAGTGGAAAAAAATCTGAAATTAAATAACAGGGTTGGATAAATCAATTCAAATTAGACTCTTTGGTTGCCTTCATCCCACTCCCCAAACCTGAAGTGACTGTTTTAAATCAGGTTAAAGGGAGGTATTACAGCTTATAATGTTTTTTAAAGTTCCAATTTGATATATGAAACTTTACATACAGTGCTTAGGATCCGGATCCGTTGGATCCGCAAGATTTTGGTTTCCTGGATCCTGATCCGCAAAAATATGCGGATCCACGGATCCAAGGGGTAAAATATTAACCAAAAACTGCAAAGAAAACCCTTTTTTACTTCTAAAACCCAAATCTGAACTTTTAAAAAACGGAAGATTATGAAAGTTTCCTCATTTCTGAATGGGTTTAGGATAAAAATAAGCGAAAAAAATCCAATTTGAAAATTATTTTTTGTTATAAAAATTCAGTAAATCTTAAAGAAATAACCTGGATCCGGATCCTTTTTTTTCAAGTGCGGATCCAGGATCCGGATCCGGATCAAAACTAAATGGATCCTAAGCACTGCATTACAATTAATAAAATTGAATTTCTAGGGAAAAATTTTTAATCTCTATAAGCTATCTAAAATAAAATTTAAACAAAAATAATGTTCTGAAGTTTCTTTGTATACAAAATTAACTTGGCCTCCATATCAGATCCGTATCCTCCAGTATAGGAGGATACGGTCTACTACTCTACTGACCTCACAGCCTCTATATCATCAGTATCCTCTAGTATAGGAGGAAGAGCAGGACAAGGAGGACCTCGAAGGATAAAATAATTCACCTGAATACAATAAAAAATTAAAATAGAAGATGCGCCCTAAAATCCAAGTTTGTAAGATTTGCTTTAAAATCTAAAATACCTAAAAAACTATCTAACAAGACTATAAAATACCTAAAAACTATCTTAACAAGACTTTAAAATACCTTAAAACTATCTAACCAAACTGTAAACTACCTAAAAACTATATAACCAGACTCTAAGATACATAAAACTATATAACTAGACTCAATATCTAAAAGCTATCTGACAAGACTCTAAAAAACCTGAGAACCATCTAACCAGACTGTAAAATACCTAAAAACTATATAACCAGACTCCAAGATACCTAAAAACTATCTAACAAGACTCTAAAATATCAATAAACTATCAAACAAGACTCTAAAATACCTGAAAGCTATCTAAAAAGACTATAAAATACCTATAAACTATCTAACAAGACGCTAAAATACCTAAAAACTATCTAACAAGACTATATATATATAACACATAAAACTATCTAACAAGACTATAAAATACCTAAAAACTATCTATCAAGAATCTATAATACCTAAAAACTATCTAACAAGACTCTAAAATATCAATAAACTATCAAACAAGACCCTAAATTACCTCTAAACTATCTAACAAGACTCTTAAATACCTAAAAACTATATAACCAGACTCTAAGATACCTAAAAACTATCAAACACGACACTAAAATACCTGAAAATTATCTAACCAGACTCTAAATGCCCCCTCTACATAAACTGGGGTTTTCTCTGGTAGACCAGCCAATAGATCTTTCTGGTCAGCACTTTGTCCTAAATAACGAACTATCAATCAATTAATCAATCAATCAATCAATTAATAAACCATCAATAAACCAATCAATAAACCATGTTCTATCTGTTTACAATCCCTTCACCTTAAACAAACCATGTTTTATCTCTTTACAATCCCTTCACCTTATACTAACCATGTTTTATCTGTTTACAATCCCTTCACCTTAAACAAACCATGTTTTATCTGTTTACAATCCCTTCACCTCTAACAAACCATGTTTTATCTGTTTATAATCCCTTGAACTTCCTGATACAATCCATGTTTTATCTGTTTAAAATCCCTTGAACTACCTGATACAATCCATGTTTTATCTGTTTATAATCCCTTGAACTACCTGATACAATCCATGTTTTATCTGTTTATAATCCCTTGAACTACCTGATACAATCCATGTTTTATCTGTTTATAATCCCTTGAACTACCTGATACAATCCATGTTTTATCTGTTTATAATCCCTTGAACTACCTGATACAATCCATGTTTTATCTGTTTATAATCCCTTGAACTACCTGATACAATCCATGTTTTATCTGTTTATAATCCCTTGAACTACCTGATACAATCCATGTTTTATCTGTTTATAATCCCTTGAACTACCTGATACAATCCATGTTTTATCTGTTTATAATCCCTTGAACTACCTGATACAATCCATGTTTTATCTGTTTATAATCCCTTGAACTACCTGATACAATCCATGTTTTATCTGTTTATAATCCCTTGAACTACCTGATACAATCCATGTTTTATCTGTTTATAATCCCTTGAACTACCTGATACAATCCATGTNTATACCTTAGGAAGCCAGTACATCATTCTGCAGTACTTCTTGAAGGGACCACTGGTGGATAATTAAAACATTTTTAAGTATTACAGGTGGTTCGGGAAGGGGAGGGGGGTGATTCAATTGTATAATTTAAAATAATTCCCTTCTTTAGATAAAATATGCCAAACATTGCGGATCCACTGCTCCGTATCCAAGTGGGAAAATATCAAGAAAAACATCCAGAAAAAGTAAAAACTAATTTAACATCAACACCTTCCTAGCAGTGCTCAGGATCCAAATAATTTTGATGCGGATCTGGATCCTGGATCCGCACTGGAAAAAACTGGATCCGGATCATGATTCTTTCTTTAAGATTTACTGATTTTTTTAACATAACAAAATTGTAAATTTTTTTTTTTTTTCCGCTTATTTTTATGATAAAACTTGATGAACCATTCAGAGATCAGGAAATTTTTATAATCTCTCTTTTTTCAACTGTTCGGATTTAGGGTTTTCGAGTAAAGCAGTTTTTTAAACACTTTTTGCGGATTCGGATCCAGGAAGCCAAAATCTTGCGGATCTTAAGCACTGCTTCCTAATCATAGAATGGTGAATATTGAGTTCCAACGAAAAAAAATGAAGAAAAATTTGGAAATTTGTGTCTGAAAAATTTGGAAATTTGTGTCTGAAAAATTTGGAAATTTGTGTCTGAAAAAATTAGCAAATCTTGAAAAATCCGAATCCCATGCTAAGACTCTTCTTTTGAGAACAATACCGCCACGCCATCTAAAAATTTATCAATCTCTTAAAACCCTTTATTTAAAATGGTTAAAAAATTACCCTCAGATTTGAAGGCTAAAATGTTCTGTCTAATTCTTAAATAAAATGTTTTCAGTTTTCCTGATTTTTCCAAAAATATTAAGAATAATTTCCCCAGTTTCTTCATCCGGGATAACCTTGTTCTTCTCCATTGTACCTAAACAGTATCATTATTATCATTGTAAAATTATCATAAAATGGATAAATTATAAAAGAAAAAAATAAGTATGTAAGCATAATATAAGGCCTTGGGGGCATGTTTAGGGTTAGACCCCCATAACGCCCCTGATCATTGTCATCATTGTTATCATTGTTATCATTGTTATCATTGTTATCATTAATATCATTAATATCATAGTTAATTATTGTTATCATTATTATGATTATTATCATTATCATTATTATCATTAAAGGGACAGTAAAGGAAAAATGAAAGGGGATATAGGCTGAAAGCTTATCACTTAGCTCTTGATCGCAACCCATGAAAGTTATATCTGATGTTCCTGTCTCGAGAAATTGATATAAAACTGTGTTATAATTATACGAAAATTCATATATGTAAAATTTTGAAAATCAGAAACTTAAATCACGTGACCAGAACTATCACCAATGGCAGAACAGTATACTGGTCACGTGTCTCCGCCTGTATCACGTGACCACTTTACTGCACTGCCATTGGTGGAATTTCTGGTCTAGTAATACGGACGTAAAAATAATATTATGAATGAAATGTATTGAAAATAGAAACAACAAATATAAAAGTAAACCTAAATTACAATTAGCTTTCTCTGGGATATCATCTTTTTTAGATTGGTTGCTGTTTTTCTGAGCATGGTCTGTTTAAACCTACTATTTCTATACGAAATTGTATATATATGCATTTTCGTACAACTTTGAAACAGCTTTATATCAATTCTCGAGTCAGGAACTTCAGATAGGCGTCTCAAGGGTCTCGATGAAAAGCTAAAGTGATTAGCTTTCAGCCTATACCCCCTTTCATTTTTCCTTTACTGTCCCTTTAATAGCATTAATATCATTGCTGTCATAGTTATCATTGTTATCATTTTTGTCATTGTTATCATTGTTTTCATTGCTATGACTTATTTTCATTGTTTTTATTGTTATCATATTCATCATATTATCACTGTTATCATTATTATTGTTATGCAGTGAAAAATGTAATTAAAACTTTGACTTACATAAAATCATAGTGGCGCAGTCTTGCTGCTTTGGATAATGAAAGAAATCAGCCTAAAAATAGAAATTTAATAAAATCTCGTAGACAATAAATTGTTAAGTTCAGGGGTATGATCCTCCCCCACCCCTCCCCAAATAAGGATTATTTTATTCAACGCCAGGAATTTAGGAATTTTTGAGCAGAAAGTAAATATTGGGGAAAATATGATTTTTAGATGTAAGGTAAAAAAAAGGGGGGGGGGAAACTTGCCAGTTCATGTTATGTCCCATTCCCCCCCCCCCCCAAGAATAATTCTTCAAAATAAATAATTCTTGTTCAAATTAAGCTTTAACTAACAAAATCCTACTTTAAATACAAACATAATTTTAGGAAATTAAGTTGATCAACTGTTTAGGAACAAATCCAATTCAGGTCTTAATCTCTGAGGAAAAATACGTCAATCTATTAAATACAAATGCTCCATATTGTGTAAAAAATATGCCATTATATCAGAGACCATCAAATTGCTCCTGAAAAGTAACTTTGGTCCCTTCTTTGAATCCAGTAAATGCTTAAAACACCAAAGGTTTAGAAGTTTTAATGTGACCTGTAATCTATTTTCAGGGATAAATCTTCCCTTCGGGAAAACATTTAAAAGTTTTTTGTAGCTCTCCAGATCTTTATGAACTCCAAACTTTTCCATATTCCTAATTATGTAGGTGTAGGTAGGTGTAGGTAGGTGCAGGTAAGTGCAGGTAGGTGCAGGTAGGTGAAAGTAGGTGAAGGTAGGTGTAGGTAGGTAGGTAGATAGGAAGGTAGGTTGGTAGGTAGGTAGGTAGGTAGGTGAAAGTAGGTGAAGGTAGGTGTAGGTAGGTAGGTAGATAGGAAGGTAGGTTGGTAGGTAGGTAGGTAGGTAAGCAGGTAGGCAGGTATGGCAGGTAGGAAGGCAGGTAGGCAGGCAGGTAGGCAGGTAGGCAGGCAGGCAGGCAGGTAGGTAGGTAGGTAGGTAGGTAGGTAGGTAGGTAGGTAGGTAGGTAGGTAGGTAGGTAGGTAGGTAGGTAGGTAGGTAGGTAGGTAGGTAGGTAGGTAGGTAGGTAGGTAGGTAGGTAGGTAGGTAGGTAGGTAGCTACAAGAATTTACCTAAGTGCGCCGTAAATAAATTCTACCATGCCGCGTTTTCTGCTATCTTTATGCGTAAATATATCAATGGCGCCTTCGAAGGATTTCTTATTCTTCTCATTGTCATCATTGACGGTGAAATATTTCTGTGTAATAAGTTGATTATTTTGTTCCTGCTCAGTCTGCTCATCTTCCTAAATAAAAAAGACTGTAGAAGCTATCGTTGTCTTTCAACTTGACAAATGCTTAATTCTGACATTCCGTATTTCTGAAGCACAAATGCGCAAGTCACTTAACAGAGGAACAACATATGAAAAATAGGTGAAAAAGGAGGATTCCACCGAATAGATCAAAAATGAAATCAGATGAATTCAAATCAAATGCAATCCAAATCAAATTAAATGCAATCCAAATCAAATCAAATGCAATCCAATTCAAATCAAATGCAATCCAAATCAAATCAAATTCAATCCAATTCAAATCAAATGCAATCCAGATCAAATCAAATCAAATCAAATCAAACCAAATCAAATGCAATCCAAATCAAATCAAATGCAATCCAATTCAAATCAAATGCAATCCAAATCAAATCAAATGCAATCCAAATCGAATCAAATGCAATCCAAATCAAATCAAATCGAATCCAAAATCCGAAATTTAAATGAAATGAAAACAAGGGTTACATTGTATTGAAAATGTATTGAAAACTCGATCTACCTCATAAAAAGGATCTTTCAACAACTGCCTTGTGAGAAGAATCTGTCTGTTTAAGAGTATTCTCGGAGTAAGGTTTCGTCTGCTCCGGACTGTCTCAAGAGTAAGACTGCAGATACCCGGAGTAAGATTTCGTTTACTCCGGGTTCTCTGTGGACAGGAGATACAGCAGCTGTACCGTGAACTAGAGCTGAATATTTAAACTATCAAGGGACCTGTAGACGTAATTTCAAGTTAACCTCCATTGTTTAAGTGACATGCCTGATTCACAACGGTACCCTTAAAAGCTTTGTTTGATCAAGTATGCATTTATAGATAATGATATCCATGTTTTGAAAATGATTATCTTCATTTGTGGTTTTTCTTCAAAATGACTTGTGCTTTTCTTGTTTTAGAAACGATGGCGAATATAACAGAATTAAACACTTAAGCTATCTGTTGTGAACCAGGCATGCGATTGCCTGGTTTTAAAAGAGGTGTCATTTAAAATTACAATGAAAGTCCATTTAAGAAGGTCGGTAACAAATTAAATATAAGTAAGATTAAAAAAGTATTTTACAACATAAACAAATGTTAACATGAAGAACTGTGAATGACAAAGAAAGGCCTAAGTTTTGGCCTGCAAACGAATCATATTAAATCAAGCATGAATTTTGGATTCAACCTAGAATTTAAAATTTACCTTGTACTAAAAAAGCGAGGGAAGATTCTAAGCATTTTTTAAGTATCTCTGCAAATATCAAGATAAATAAGCTGAATGAATCTACTACAAAGAAAAATCAATTACAAAGGATGACTTTGCTTCTAGCATAAATGTTTCCCCATGAAAATGTTTTTATTTCATTTGATTTCTAACACTCTCTTGTGAAAATCCGCAAACTATTCTGGATATTAGAAAGCCCCTCTTGAACCAAGAATACAGAAGCTACATGATTGAACAGCTTGGGAAGGCGTTGACCATTGATGCTTTTATAGACGCAATTTGGAGCTCTTCGGAACTTAAAGCTGCTTCTTTTTCTTTGGTGTCCATATAAAGCTAAACAAAAAAAATTAAATTAATTTTAAAGACAATTCTTAGTTCAAATTATAGTAGAACTTACTTGTAAATAGGAACTGTCGTTTTTTTCCTTAAACCAATCTGGGAGAGGGGCATTCCAATCTTCGGGTGGGGTTGTACGCTTTTCCCAAACATCATTAGAGTAGTGACCTTCAGTTCAGAAATAAAATATACTAGCTAAAGTGCCCAGCGTTGCCCGTGAAATAAAAAAGTTGAAAAAAAGTTTTGGAAAAAAATTTTCATCTTGAAATAAAATCTAATTTTTAAGGCTATGTTACCCTCTGAATGTATGTACCTATAGGTTCCCAAAAAAAATGTCCGCCAATTTGTTTCAGGGCAGAGAACAGTCTCTTTATACTGGGAACACAAGATGTTCCTTAGCATCTGTATCTTTTTAGCATATGTGCGCCCCCTCCCTTTTCCCCCTCACTCTTACACATCCTTACACCTTAATTTGTGAAGACTGAATTTGCTTAGTTGCAATGGGGAAAAGGGAGACTTCTCCCCCCCTCTCTAGTTATTAAAGGGGGTGGGGGGAGGGGTGCACGGTGGAGGTCTGAGTTAAGATTTGAGCAAGAAATAAACCTGAGACCCTGAGAATATTTTTAAAATCTGTTAAACAATTCAAAATAGGATATTTTTAAGGAAAAATAACGCTGTTTTGCACATTTTGAAAAATAAAATTGTGCTTGGATCCGGATCCGTGGATCCGTATTTTTTTGCGGATCCGGATCCAGAGAGCCAAAATAATGCGCATCCAGCGGATCCGGATCCTAAGCACTGGGCATAACAGTATCATTGCACATATCATGCTAACTCTGTGATCCACGTACTCCTCAGGGAGGCAGAGGGTTGCCGGGAGGGGTGGTTTCCTGGTAACATTCGTGTTATTGGGTTGTCATAATAGATAGATAGATATCAAACACAATAATTGTGCAATGTGCATATAACCATTTCACTTTAATTTTCAAGCTACAAGTAAAGCTATATTTGAATTATAAATGACTTCCAGTTTCCTTATCAAGTTTTTGAGTCACACTGTTTACTGATTTTCAAAATAAAAAAAAACTGTTTTTTAAATATGCAACAATTTTCATTGAATCCCGCTAATCTAAAATTGTTTGGGCAGGTCCATGTTAAACCCAGCTCTTTACAAAGGAATGGCATTTACGCCCTCGAGTTCATCAATGAATCCTTCTGGGGTTTGAATTTTTCTGAGAATAAATGATACACGCGTTTTACGTTTTGAGTCTTGAATATTGATTTTTAGGGACATTCTACATTCATTAACTCACGAGTCACAATAGAAAATAATAAAAGTTTTACAGGAAAACTACTTAATCATTTCCAAAACTCATTTTGTCCAGTCTTTTCTAATTTATGTTCACAGATTCTTAGTTTGGATTTTAAAAGAAAAATATTTATATCTAATAAATCCCCAGCTGTAGGAGATAATAAAAATAAAAATATCATTTTTCTAGGGTCTGTTGTTGTAATTTCAATTAACAATTAACAATTAACAATTAACAGTTAACAACTCTATGATCAATAATGGGGAATATACCGTGTTCATTCTAGCTTGAGAAGTACTTAGTTCTGACAATTTCGTCACTTATTTCTGGAGCAGAAATGCGCAAATCACTTTAATTATAGATAGAAAACAATGTAAAATTATCAATTTTTTAACAGAAACTTAAGGATATCTTGCATTTTGATACGATAGCTTAAAAGGGTACGATTTTGAACCAGACATAGATGCTCAATAAAAATCAATTAAAATTTCGTAAAATTTAAGAATTGTATATAACCTAATTGTGCGCGCTTACCTTACCGTGTACATAAAATTGTTGGAAGCGTCCTCTGACAGAACTACAGGACTTCATTTCATCCTTGTACACGTCACACTCCCTGTACAGTAAATTATGATTTTATTAAAGGGAGTGTTCGCTGAAAATGAATTCCCGTTTTTCCCCCCCATAAGCTTTAAAAATCTTACCCGTTGGATTCATTCATTATTTGCTATAAAATATTTCAGACCAGTCCCATTTCTTGCCATAATTCTTTTTCACTCAGATTTCAATATTTGGATTTTGAAAATTATCCTAACCAGTCAAATTTGGAGCATTAAAAAAAGATGGAAAGTCTAATGAGCTTTCCAAAATGTGGTCTACTATCCTAGTATCTTTAAAATTGACGGAGATATTAAACATTGTAAAGTTTTGTAGATTTTAATTAAATGGAATCTGAACAAATTATCTAGTATCTCAATCAATTTTAAAGGTGAAAAATCGTAGACCACAATTTGGAAATCCCAGAGACTATAGAAATTTTCGTTGTTAAATGTTTTACTATGATACTTCAATATCATATTTACGAAATAATCCCATTAAAAACAAAGACGATATGAAGTAGTCATTTAATTCCTATGTTTATTGGGACACGCTAGGTACAAAATGTGCTTATGAATAGAACCCACTACAGTCCAGGTTACAATGAAAGTTTTGGAAAATTTAGTTTTCGAACGGCAAATAACCGAGTTATTGGTTGAAAACGAACAAAAAATAACCGTTCCTCAAGAAAAATCTAAGAAAACTTTCGATAATTTTTCTGCGTAACCCAATTTTGGAAATCAAAACCAAACACTTTTTATTTCATGGAAAAAGTTACGTTAATCAACAGTTTGAACTTTTAAAAAACATTGAAAATATATGGAAACATTTGACAGCACATATATCATCCTTTTCTGTTGGCACGGATACCTCAGAATCCAACTATCAGGAATGGTTTGAAGAAGATCCACGTGGTTTTTATTTACAGTTACGGGGATTTCTTTCTCAGCCATTTTTATTTCTGTTTCGGGGATTTCTTTCTCGGCCATTATTGTTTTTATTTATCTGAAAAGAAATTTTATTGCGACGATTTAAATCGTATTTATTAAAATTAAATGATGTTTTTTTAGAGTGTTTTGTAGGAGGGGGGGTTATACTTCACACATCACAGCTATCTTGAGAATTCACAGGACAAACAGAACATTTTTTAAATTCTCGACCAAAGTCAAGATTACATTTTTAAGTATCAGACTTAAGTTTAAGTTAAGGGGTATAAACTTAAGTTAACAATTAAGTTAAATTTAATCCCAGTTCCACTGTTTTACTGATTGGAAGAAAGACGGTAAGGAAGACATATACATTATACACAAATGTAACTTTCCTATTTTATTGACGACACAACTGTTGTGACCTGAATTTTCTTGAGTTAAAGCACTGACAAAATTGAAAATAAAATCACAGACAACATTGTTAACAGTGCTTATTAAACTGTATACATTTAAAGGTTGCATCTGATCTAGTTATTTTAAATGGAATTTTGTTTTACTCCAGCGAATTATTTTGGATATTACTTTAATTTGTAAACTGCTATAGGATAGGGAAGATGTAAACTACTATAAGATAGGGAAGATATAAACTACTATAGGATAGGGAAGATGTAAACAACTAATAAAGGATAGGGAAGATATAAACTACTATAGGATAGGGAAGATGTAAACTACTATAGGATAGGGAAGATATAAACTACTATA